GGTTTATTTTCATTGGATGGAGGATTTACATGAAAAAAAAAAAGCGACTTTTGACTTCCAGTGGGTGCTCAACAGATTTGAAAGAAATATGGCAGGCGCAAGAATAGCTCAGCATTCACCACTGACCAAATGAGTTGATGCTGACTGCTCAATGCTCACCAACCAAAAGACAACCAGTGCTCCTTTAACCTAAAATTCCTTGACAATTATAGTGTCAATTCTGATCCATTCGAAAACCAGGACTTTAGTGCACTGGACAAAATAAATCAACCAGAACAATTACACCAAACAACTACAAATCCTTATTCTAACTGCTAAGTTTATTACCTTGTAACTTGAAGGCACCAACTCCCAGAATTGGAGGAATGCCTAAGCAGGGCTTCTCAAGCAAAACACTACTGACATTTGGGGCCCGGTAATTCTTGATGGGGGGGGGGGGGAGCGGGGAGGATGGGACTGTCTTGTGCACTGCAGGATGCTGAGCTGCATCCCTGGCCTCTACCACTAGATCCCACTCCCCACTTGTAACAACCAAAACTGTCTAATGCATTTGGAGTGTCGGGGGCCAAAACCACTTCCAACTGAGAACCACAGCTTTATTTATTTACTTTTTACTATATTTTTGTATTTCAGAGAGGAAGGGAGAGGGAGAGAGAGAGAGACAGAAATATCAATGATGAGAAAGTCATTGATCAGCTGCCTCCTGCACGCCCCACACTAGGGATGGAGCCCTCAACCCCGGCATGTGCCCTGACCAGGAATATCGAACCCGTGACCTCCTGCTTCACAGGTCAATGCTCCACCACTGAGCCACCCCGGAGGTGCTGAGAACCACTGCTTTAAAGAGAAGGTAATACATAAAAGACAAGGAATCCACGTTCTTTGGAACAGGAAGGGACTTTAAGGATCCTGGGCGCCAGTGATTTTCAATCTGGGGTATGTATCCGTCTCCCTGGGCCGGAGAGGGAAATGCCTTGCCCAAGGTCACAGGGCGAGTTACAGCCTGGACTCCAAACCCACCCGAGCCCTTCCTTACAGAAGGGGGGGAGGGGTATTGTTCTCGCCCCTCTGGGAAGAACCTTGCTGGCTGAGACGGTGCGGTGCGCTCTGGAACCAGCGGCCACACACAAAACGCCGACTCGGTGTTTAATCGGTGGGCGACCTTGAGCAAAGCACAGAACCTCTGAGCGCCTCAGTTTCCCTTTCTTTCCAACGTAACAATAATAGTAGCTACCTCCTTTTTTACTTGGATTGCTGCAAAGTCAAAAAGAGTTAATGTGATAAAGCCCTGGGCACGGGGCCCGGCACACAGTAAGCACTCAACCCAGGTCCTGTTCCAATCCTTGCCCCCCGACCGGGGACTGAGGGGTCTGCGGCGCCCGAGGCAGCGGGCTGGAGAGGCCACGCGGGCTAAACGACCCCGGAGCGCACCCTCCCCCGCCCGCGCCGGGCCCCGCCCCGCCCCTCACCTGGTCCCGCAGCTCCCTCTCCAGCTGCCGGTAGTCGTTGTTCCAGACCAGGAGGTGCAGAGGGAAGTGGCCGCTGGAGTCGCGGGCCCGCGGACCATGGCGAGGAGGCCGCAGCCGGGCCTCACCGCCCGCTGGCCCAGCCTCAGCCCCCGCGGGGTCTCCGGCGCCGCCCTCCCGCCCGGCGGCCGACGAGCGCGAGAGAGAAGGGTGAGCGAGTGGGGCGCGGGGCGCGGCCGAGCGGCCGACGGGGCCAGGTGCGGGGAGCGCGGGAGGTCGGGTCGGGTCGGGGACCCCGGTCAGCCGCGCCCACCCCGCGCCCCGCCGCGCTGCCGCCCGCGCTGACAGCTCCCGAACCGACTTCTGCGGACTGAACTGCCCCAAACCGGGAAGTGCCGGGAGCGAACCACCGCACACCGCGGCGGGGGGGGACGCGAGGCCAGCCCCCTCGGTCCGGGGCCCCCCAATCCCGCCCACGTCCAGCTCCACGCCGGGAGGCACAGTGCAACTCCGCGGAAGATTTAAAATTCTCCCTCTGAGCCCAGGATCTGGAAATGGAGAACTCAGCCTGCCCGCCACCAGCCCCTCCCCCCGCCCCAGCAACCTCATATGGTTCGGCCCACAACTGGGCTGCTCCCAACGACTCTGCGCTCAGGGGGTGACAACAGCTCATGGGCCGAACCATTCCGTTCGCCGGCTCCCTGGCAGCCTTTTGGACCGGGGCAGACGCTTCTATGATTGGTCAGAAGCCATTTTGGAAGTGGGCAACACCAAGCAGTTTTGAAGGGGGAGCTGTAAACCCTAGAGAAGTGGCATTAAATAGTTGCATGGCACGGAGATCCTTGTATCTCATGGTTTCTCAAGGCAGGGCGTTTTTGAAGGAGAGAATTCTTTCTGTGGGGGTTGTGTTGTGCTTGGTAAGATACTGAGCAGCATCCCTAGCCTTTATACCCCCTAGATGCCAGGAGCACTCCCCCCAAAACCTCCAGACATTGCCAATTGTCCCGTGGAGGAGGCGAATCGCCCCCAGTGGAAAACCACTGTTATATCTGAGCTCCAAACTAGGTTATGTTACCTATGGCTTATTCCACACGAGTGTCCCGTTTTTTTTTTTTGAAGCTAGCCATTTGAATTTTGGGTTATGAACACCTAAACTTGACCACAGTCTGCAAGTATAAAATTCATTCTTTGAGTTCCAACCTAAGACACTAACTATAGCTCCTGATTCAATAAAGAACCAAGTCAATTTACATCTACTCCTCGAGTGGAGCTTTCTCCACAGCTGTCTACAACTAGACTACATCGCTGGGTGAGATTCTTTAATGTATCCAGAAAGCTGCCCTCTGCCTTCTCGGCTTTCCAGATGCCTGCAACAACAGCTGCTGAAGAATCCTGGCCTAATCCATTCTCTGCATGTGTTGAGTCCAGAAGATTTGCGAATCTCCCATCCAAAATAGGGTGCAGGAGCATCGGGATGGGACCCAGAGGCTCTAACTGTGGGATCTGTGGGAATTATATGGTTATACCCACACCACACGTTTATCAAAGTGGAGAGATGGACCAAAACCCAGAGCTTCTGAGACCTATTTGGAAGGGAGAGGGAGAGACAGAGAGAAACATCGATGTGAGAAAGACACATCGATTTCTTCCAGGGCTTCCTATCCTTTCAGAAACCTGAGCAACTTAATCTTTTCTCTTCTTGTCCCATGTTTATTGGACACCTCTCTTATTCATTCATTGAAAAACTCCACAATGGCTGCTTACCAGAGGACCCAAAGTCACACAGTACCAGACCCATAAGAGGCGTCCAATATTTGCTGAATGGAGCTCATAATTGTGTTTGCATATGAGAAATTGGTGAAGAAAACAAGATCAAGTCAGTATAGTCATGCTGACAAAACTGGTTCAGACCAAATGCGCCGAACCATGAGGAATATAATTTTTTTTTAAATATATTTTTATTGATTTCAGAGAGGAAGGGAGCGGGAGAGAGATAGAAACATCAATGATGAGGGAGAATCACTGATTGTCTGCCTCCCACACATCCCAAACCTGAGATTGAGCTTGCATCCCGGGCATGTACCCTGACCGGGAATCAAACCATGACCTCCTGGTTCATAGGTCAACGCTCAACCACTGAGCCACACCAGCTGGGCTGTTCTCTTTTCTTTGTAACATTCTGGTAGTGTTTATGATTTGCAAATCTTAAGACCCTTGAATAAATCTTTGTCATTTATTTGTAGTCAAAACCTCTTGACTTTTTTTTTTTGCTTGGTTGACACATATAGCACATACAATAAATATTCACTAGCATTAGGGCCACGTCTCTTCTCTCCTCCACACTGATTAAACTCATCTCCTTGTGTTTATCTTATAGCATCCTGTAAATTACTTTAGGTTATCCATTCTTATTCTAAAAACAAATTGTGACAAGAAGATAATAGTAATACCAAATACCAGTAATAATAGGAGCTACTATTATTGACAGCTTACTATGGGACAGGCACACTCATTTTTCTGTGAATTATTACATTTCTCCTTAGCCAGATAGGAAATATTTAGTTTTGCAGGTCACGTATGAGTTTTGTTGACTATTCTTCCTCTTCCTCTTTACCACCCCTTAAAATTATAAAAATCATTCTTCGATAGCAGGCCATATAAAAGCAAATCTAAGTTTCTTGGTAGATAACACATTATCTCCATTTTGCTGAGGAGACTAAAACTGCAGCCTAAGGAACAGCTAGCATTCTTTTTTTTTTTTTTTTTAATTTCAGAACATCCTGGGTGGTCACTTTAGGTGTCTGAATTTGCAAGGCCAGGCCAGACCTCCACACAGGCCTCCCCGAAGTGGGTCAGGTTAGCATGTGCCCCCCCCCTTTTTTAAAAAATATATTTCTTTATTGATTTCAGAGAGGAAGGGAGAGGGAGAGAGATAGAAATATCAATGATGAGAGAGAATCATTGATTGGCTGCCTCCTGCATGCCCCCCATTGGGGATCAAGCCTGCAACCCAGGCATGTGCCCTTGGCCGGAATCAAACCTGGGACCCTTCAGTCCGCAGGCTGACGCTCTATCCACTGAGCCAAGCCGGCCAGGGCTAGCATTCTTATTTCACTCATTTTGCTGTAATCTACTGCAGTCGGATGTCAGCTCCATAAGGACGGGATGTTTTGTCTTGTTTGCTCACTTCTGTTTCTTTAGTGCCTAGAACAGTGTATGGAACGTAGTAGGTGCTCAATACATATTTGTTGAATAAAGTAATGAATAAATGAATGAACTTGGCCACAGTGATGCTAGTGACTTGACTATTGATTGTCTCAGTAAAGTGTGGCTGCAGTTCCAATGGGTCAACAGGTGTTAGCTGCGCTCTCTGGTACGGTTCAGTTCTGGGTCCAGGCGACTCCCTTCCGGGAGGGAGACCCAACTCTAGATTGACAGGCAGGGCGTCAGGCGCTGGGGACTCATCTGCCCTCACTCAAGATGGCGACGAGGCGGCGTGCCCTTTCGGGTCACGTGACACCCGACGCCACGGCGCCTCCCCACGCCTGCGTGCTGCGCCGCGGCTGCGAAGCGCTGAGGGGAGAGGCGCCGCCGCCAGCGCCGCGGTGGGACCCGTTAGAGCGGAAGCGCCGCCGCCGCCGCCTTCGCTGTCTCGGGGCTTCAGGGACCCGGCAGGTAGGAGGCGGGAGCCATGTCGAAGCGGCTCCGGAGCAGCGAGATGTGCGCCGACTGCAGCGGGCCGGGTGAGTCCCCCCGGCCGGGCCCGCTCCCTCAGCGCCGCTGCCCGGGACCCCTGCCCCGCGCCGCCCCCACGGGTCCGGCGGCTCCCGGCGGCCGAGTCCTGCACCCCATGCGCCCGGGGTCGCCACTCGGAGCACCTGGGGCCGCCTCGGGGCGCGAGCCGTCCCAGGCCTGTCAGAGCCGGGCGGGCAGGGGGCCGCCGCCCTCCCGTCCCTCCGTCCCTCCCGTGCGGCGCGGGGCGGGCTGGAGGCCGGGCCGCTGCTGCCACAGGAAGGGGTTCGGGCCACGCACAGGAAGCCAATTGCAGAAGTCAGTGCGCGCTCCCGCCGTCCCGGAGGCGCAGGTGTCTCTCCGGCCCCCGCCCCCCACCGCCCCGAGCCGCCGCTCCTCCGGGAGCCCTGCCCGGGTGGGCGACCTTCGCCGCTTCCCTCCGCCGGGACCAGCCGGCCGCCCCGCGGACGACTCCCCCTCCCGACATGGGGGCCCCGCTCCCCGGGGGAGTCCGGGAGGCCGGGGCTGGCAGACGCCGCCGGCACTCAGGAGTCGACGCCGCCTCCGGTTCGGGCATCGGAGCGGCCCGAGTTCACACCAGCTTCTGCTTGTGGGTGACCTTGGGCTGCGGCTGCGTTGGCCGGGCCCTGCCGCCCTCACTTTTTCCAACGGGCATGGCCAGGAGCCCCGCGTCCGCGGTGGGAGGACCCCGCGAACGCCCCGCCGTCACGGCATCTGGGCGGTGGTGTCTTCGCTCTCTGAATGGGGTTCCGGAGTACAGAGCCTTGGCGGCCCCTGGAAGCTAGAATTGCATGTCTAAGCTGCTCATTGGTTACCGTTTACAACACACACACAGAGTCCCTGGCATTCAGGCATCTGGGGGCCTTGTCGGGGCAGAACCATTCCTCCCGTGTGTAGTTTTCAGGTTTAGGGTTCAGATCCATCTTCGGGACTGGACCTGGGTTGACAGGTCCCGGTGCTGTTTTCGGTGCTTGGGTTTATCTGCTTTGAATGGGAAGTCATTCAAGGTAAGATGGCTTCCTTGGCACAATAGCGCCCAATAAACAATCTTAATGAAATCAGGGAGCAGCAGTGTTTCTGCAACTGCTCCGAGCGGCATCTGGATCCGTGGCCGCGGAGATGGGTGTTACACAGCCCGTGGTGACGCGGGCCTCTGTGGGTATCCCACGGCCCGGCAGTGCAGGGATGGTGCCCGCTGTTTCCAAGATGGGGAGCCGGGGGCAGGCCGTTAGAGAGGCGCTTTACCAACTGAGTTCGTGCGGGTGACACAAACTCCATTGTAGTCTCTCGACATGTTACTCGTTCCACTTCCTTATTTCTTGTGTTTTCCGTTGAACTGTCTGATGTGTTTGATTCACTTGAGGCTAGATTCGGACTTCCTCTTGGAGTGCATGTTCTTTAGCTCTGCGGGATGACAGGGGCAAAGGAACACGTTGGCTCCATCGCCACCCTGAATGCTCCTTGCACTTCTTCCGTGTGTTGTGCATTTCAGAACGTTTTCTCTCCTGTTGTGTCATTTTAGTTGTCTCCTCTGCCTACTCTCTGAGACTTGAGTCACTTCCTTCCTGTTTTGAATGTAATTCGGCTACCTTGAAATGTTCTGTGAACTTGAGCAGCCAGGAATTTCTGCTGCTTTTTTGGTAAACCCTCGTGAAAGTTACCTTATGGTTAGGGATCCCTTTCAGATTTTGATGACTACTAAGGCCTTCTCCCCCCAAAGTGCACGCATACTTCATCTTTCATACAGAATTTATATTCAGATTTCTCAGTGGGGTCACAGACATTTCCGAAGCCCATTTGCTGTGCTCCTGGAGCCCAGGTTAAGTAGCTCCTGCATTATGCTTCAGATAAACTGCAAGGGCCCTCGCCAGTTTGGGTCAGTGGTTAGTGCGGTGGCCTGCAGACTGAAGGGTCCTGGGTTCAGTTCCAATCAAGGGCACATACCTCAGGGTGTGTACAGGGGGGCAGCCAATTGATGTATGTGTGTCTCTCTCTCTGTCTCTCCCCCTCCCTTCCACACTATCTAAAAATCAATGGAAAAATATCCTCGGGTGAGGATTAACAAAAAAACCAAAACAGATCATCTGGAAGGGGTTCACCCAATATCATTTATATAAACTCAGTTTTACAGTGTTGTTAACATTCTGATGTTCTTTCCATGGGATTCTGATCTCTGATGTTAAAGTGATTGAGAACTTTGCTTAATGTGTGAAGTTCCAGTTGTCTTGTTCCTGTCTAATTTCCTCTTAGAACATTGTGAATCTACTGAATAGATATGTGAAAACCAAAGCTGTGATTCGAAACAATCTCTTTTTTATCACTAGTAATGGTACAAAAAGCAATGTTATGTGTCTTTGTAGGGATCCTTCATCTTGATGTTTTGAGTCTTTGCTTTTTAGAATGGCATAATAGTACTGAATTATTTTCTGTTCTATTTCATGGCAAACATTTAATCATCTTAGTAAATATTTACATCTTAGTGAATATTTTACCTTTAAAAATGAATCTAGTTCATTTAAAATATATTCTACTCCGAGTTTTACTGAGATTTTTACTATAGTAATGCAGTGTTCACATGAAACATTCTACATTGTAAGTATTAAGAATCAAAAACTTTTTCCAGCCTGGCTGGTGTGGCTCAGTGGTTGAGCGTCGACCAGTGAACCGAAGGTCACTCGTTCAATTCCCCATCAGGACACATGCCCAGGTTCGGGGTCTGATCCCCAATAGGGGGCATGCAGGAGGCAGCCAATTGATTTTTCTCTCTCATCGATGTTTCTATCTCTCTCTAAAAAATTAATTTAAAAAACTTTTTCCAGTGGGTCATGAATTTCAGTGGACTCTTGAAAATATCTGAGTGTTACTCAGAAAATAATTTAGAAAAGTTATAACAGTTAAAATTACTGAGTACTTACTATATGCAAGCAACTTTACTTACTTTTTATATCCTCACTATCCTGAGATGTGTATATTCCCATTTGATCCATGGTGAGGATGCTCTAAATAAATAAATAAATAAATAAATAAAATAACTTGCTTAGCTCATTATGTGAGAAGTGGGAGAGTTGGGATTCAAACCCTGGACTGCTTGTCTCCAGAGCCAGTTCTCTTAACCACCACACTCTCTGACTCCTAGGATTTGTCTTTGATTGAAATCCCATAACTTTTCATTATATGGTTGGAAAGGATTTGAATAAACTGTTAAAAATGGTAAAGATGGTGTACATGCATTTTAGAGATTTTTGTGGACATTGGAGAACTTTTAAATATAACCCTTATACCAGGGAGCTTGTGTGGCACCTATTGTCACTCCATTGTGAGTCTGATGAAATGTAGGTCTTTTTCTTTTCTTTTTTGTTTTTGTTTCTAAGTATCCAGTGTACCTACCCAATGTGAATTATTCTTGCCGCTTACAGTGTGAATTATTCCTGTTTCAATAGCTGTCTCTGGAACTTCATAGGAAAAAAGTATTACACACACCAAAAATATTACTCATTTTTATTTGACATCTTTGCTTCTTTGAAGCCACTGTTATTACGGATCTGTTCTTTCAGAGCAGTTACAAGATTGGACTCAGTAGTTTATTTATTTTAATATATTTTTATTGAGAGGAAGGGAGAGAGGGAGATAGAAACACCAATGATGAGAGAGAATCATTGATTGGCTGCTTCCTACTGGGGATGGAGCCCACAACTTGGGCATGTGCCTTGACTGGGACCCGAACCATGAACTCCTGGTTCATAGGTTGACGCTCAACCACTGAGCCACACCAGTCGGACCTCAGTAGTTTATTTAAAACAACGAATGGATATCCTAGAACATCTCCCTAGTGGAGGAGGCCAGATTTCCCAGTCAGTCCTCAGAACCACACAGCTGAGCAATTTTATAGTTTTGTCACTTGCAGCTTTCTGCTAAGCAGATAGGCATATAGATTTGTGGCAATCTTTTCACCATTTTCTTTGTATAATGCTATGTGGATTATTTACTGTCACAGTTATATTATTTTGCCATTTGTGGAGATGGATTTAAAATGATTCATCTATATCCTCTTAATTTGCTTCTCATGTTGAATGAAAGAGCATGTATCTGAGGTGGTAGATCCCATTAGGGCTTCAGACTGTGGCCCTGAACCAGAAAGGAGATAACTGCTGATATAGGATTTCAACTCATGTTTTTAGTCTCAATTAACATTGTACCCAATCAGCCAAGATAGGTTTTATCACCAGCTGGATATATTGATTAGCATACTACAACAACAAAAATGTCCTATTTTTCTGAAAAACCATACCTCAGTCATCTTTTGCCATCTGGCAGCAAAGCAACCAACTGGTATCCTCGCCACTGAGATTTCATTTTCTTTCCAGATCCTTCCTGGGCATCAGTAAATAGGGGAACTTTCATATGCGATGAGTGCTGCAGTGTCCATCGGAGTCTGGGGCGCCACATCTCTCAAGTAAGGCATCTTAAACACACACCGTGGCCTCCAACATTGCTTCAGGTAAAGGAAGCATTTTTCTCATGGTTTGTAATTTAAGTTTTTAGGGCTCATTGTTTTAGCAACTAAAGTTTCCCCTACTCCTTAAATCATACAAAAATGTTTGAATCATAACTGAATAGAGTGCTGTGCCCATCTTAAATGCATCATAGACAAATAGAGAAGTAGTCATTCAAATTTCTTGGTACTGCTTCCCTGCTGACTTTCTAGAAAGTCTCCAGAAACTGTTTTTAAACACCTCATTATTTTCACATACCATGATGAATGTTTCTGAAAGCTACTGCTTTAGAAACTTTTGTTAATGTACTTATCCCTCAGTACCTGCTAATATTTTTAGCACTTTTTTCCCTCCTTTGATAGAAGCACAGACTGGGATTTCTCAGAAATTTCTGAAACATCTGATTTAAAGTTGTTGTTATTACTTAGAGAACAAATTCAATTAACATGTTTTGATTGATTGCCTAACACGCTGCTAAGTGTTGTGTGTTGTTTTATTTGCGATTCAGTGTCATGTCATCTGTATTTCTATTTTGGGGTACACATTCTCCAAGTTCTGTTGGAACAAAGAATTAAGCATGTGTTTCCCCTTCCTTTGTCTTGAGTACATTTTTTACTAAGTCTATGGCAGCTGCATAACATGTCCCTTAAACGTGCCTGTACAAACCAAGGGACCAGAACAAGTGGGTTTGGGTCTCTGATGTGACAGTATCTCCACTAATGTAAAAAACAGATGGGCCATGTTAGCAGTCATGCTTTGGAATGAAATTGGGAGATATGGTTTATTAATAACTTTGCTCACAAGTTTCTAACAGTTCATTCTATGTGAAAGTAAGTGGGTGTTTACTGTTCCCAGGTCTGTGTTTACAGATTTTTACTAGAAGATCTGAATAAAGTCTAGAGATTAGTAATTTAAAATGCCAGGGTTGACCCTAAAACTTTTCCCAAAGTATGATACATGAACCCCCAGTGGTACTCAAGACAGATGTAGATAATACTTCAATATTTATTTTGGAGGTTGCATTATATTAATGTGTATATGAAAGCTATAAGCAGCACATTAAACCATAATTGCTAGAGAAAGTTTTAAAAATGAGTGGATTTAAAAAAAAATACCAAGTGGATAGTCTAGACCCGTGGTCGGCAAACTGCGACTTGCGAGCCACATGCGGCTCTTTGGCCCCTTGAGTGTGGCTCTTCCTAAGCCTTAGGGGTACCCTAATTAAGTTAATAACAATGTACCTACGTATATAGTTTAAGTTTAAAAAATTTGGCTCTCAATAGAAATTTCAATCGTTGTACTGTTGATATTTGGCTCTGTTGACTAATGAGTTTGCCGACCACTGGTCTAGACCAGCGGTTCTCAACCTGTGGGTCACGACCCCTTTGGGTGTTGAACAACCCTTACACAGGGATTGCCTAAATACATCCTGCATATCAGATATTTACATTACGATTCATAACAGTAGCAAAATTACAGTTATGAAGTAGCAACGAAAATAATTTTATGGTTAGGGGTCACCACAACATGAGGAACTGTATTAAAGGGTCACGGCATTCGGAAGGTTGAGAACCACTGATTTAGACGGTACATGGGTTGTTAAGAATCTTGTAAATAGTATTTGGATAACCAATCATGGAACACTGCCTTAAAGTATCAAAGTACTCTTCCTTCATCTATAATAATAAAAGTGTAATATGCTAATTAGACAGGACGTCCTTCCGGAAGACCTTCCGGACAAAGCTGGTGCTGGGAGGGAAGCCTGGGTCCCAGGTGCCAGAGGGAAAAGCCGGTGAAGGCAGCCGGGGGAAGGAAGGCCTACTCTTGCACGAATTTCGTGCATCGGGCCTCTATTAATATATAAGAACAATATAATCAAACCCATTTAGATATTTAGATATCTACTGGTCAAATCTGAATTCTGTGTACAGGTTCATCTTTCATGCTCTAAAATCAGAAAATGATGATGTGTGTGATGCCAGTCATGCTAGTTTTTGTAATGGGGCTTTGTTTTCCCTGTTCAGTGATTACCACTGAATATTTGTGGAAAGAAATTAAAATATGATGTTATACTGCTTGGTTTTAGATGGTTGAAACCTTATATAATAATGGTGCTAATTCAATATGGGAGCATTCTTTGCTGGACCCTGCCTCTATTATGAGCGGAAGACGTAAAGCTAATCCACAGGATAAAGTACAGTGAGTGGAATGTTTATAAATACTTTTATTTCTTTGGGACACATGGACCCACTGAAAGGAGTGCAGCTATTTTTGACCAGCCTCCACAGGGCAGCATAGGAGCTGGTTACCCCAATTGTTCCTTGAACTCTTTGCTATTAGAAATGCAGAACAAGGGGCTCTGGCCAGGTAGCTCAGTTGGTTAGAGCATCGATACATCAAGGTTATGGGTTCGATCCCCAGTCAGGGCATATAAACAATCAACCAGTGAATGCATGAATAGGTGGAACAACAGATCGGTGTTTCTCTTTCTCTCTCCCTTCCTTCCTCTATCTCTCTAAAAATCAATAAAAAAGAAAAAAGAAATGCAGAATAAGGACAAGCATGGGACCATCTCTTTTTCATGGTTACCCAGCACAAGTCAGTGGTTTCACCAGTTTGAAACTAAGGCTTGAGGGCTGTTGGTGTAATCAGATTTAAGCTTAGTATTCAAACAAGAGGTCTGTCTGACCAGACATCTAGGTTCTGCACTCTAGTCAGCCTGATGCCTTGCCTATAAGATGGGATGAAATGCTGCTTCCTCCCAAGGTTGCCAGGTCAATGAAAAAAGGGAATGTGGGTCACTTCCTCTTCTTTTTACAGCCTAAAGAATGGGGAATGTCGTATCTGAACTGCAAGTGAAATGTTCTTTTTTCTGTTTTTCAACCAGTCCTAATAAAGCGGAATTCATCAGAGCCAAGTATCAGATGTTAGCATTTGTCCATCGTTTGCCCTGCCGGGATGATGATAGTGTGACTGCCAAAGATCTCAGTAAGGTGGGTCATACCTTTTAAAATCTCTACAATTACTGGATGAAGCAGTGTATTGTTTTTGTTTAGGGAAAAAAACAAACTTTAAAAGGAAGAAAAGAAAAAACAAAAACTGCTATCTAGTCACAAAATAACTAATAACAGCTTTTCATTGCAGTTGGTTTTGTCTTTATTCTTAATTCAAATGGCAGCCATTCATGTTAGTATAGGTAAGGGCATAGAGGAAAAATAAGTATCTAGAAATCTATTTGTGTTATTCTGATATGGTTTGAAAATTATGTTTCTACTAGAGGCCCGGTGCATGAAATTCTTGCACTCAGGGGGCCCCTCAGCCTGGCCTGTGCCCTCTCATAGTCAGGGAGCCCTCGGGGGATGTCCGACAGTCAGACATCCTTAGTGCTGCTGCAGAGGCTTCTGGCTGAGCGGTACTCCCCCTGTAGGAGCGCACAGACCATCAGGGGGTAGCTCCTGCATTGAGCGTCTGCCCCCTGGTGGTCAGTGTGTGTCATAGCAACCGGTCGTTTTGCCATTCGGTTGATTTGCATATTAGCCTTTTATTATATAGGATAGGATAAGTTTTTTGTTTGTTTAACTTTGAAGTAGAAACCCTCACAGTTTCTAGAAGGGACTAGAAAGTTTGTGGGATTTTTTCAGGTCTCTCGGTTGCATACTTAAAAGAAGATCTTCAGGAAGCAGGGTGTGACTCAAAGCTGTAGTACATGGGGTGGTTTATTATACTTGTAAAATGAGTAGTTTGTTTTCTTTATGTGGGCCTTTGCTTGTTTTTGAGAGATGCTACAAGAAACCTGCTTTTCTATTTTCAAAGCATTGCTTTTGGCAAATGTTCACACATAGCACGAGCATTCACAGTTCAGAATTTTAAACTTTGCATAAACATTTTTACTTCTTTGTTTCTTGCTACTTCCATTTCTTATTACTTCTGATTATTAGTAAGACTGGGTATGTGTTTTTTACCACAGTTTTTAAAAGTAAAATAAATTTTAAATATAAGGCTTAGATACAGATGTTAGAGTGGATATCTTTATTCCTATGATAAGGGTTATTGCATTTCAACAATTTGGTCAGAATTGAAGGCAGCTCATCTTCTGAATATATAAGTACTTTTCTTCAGTAGTGCAGAATTTGGTATACCACAGGCCCATTTCCCACCTGAAAGACTTCATTAGAGCATTGTATACAAGGCCAAGAATACTGGTGTGGAAAGGATGCAATATAAGGCAGAACCCTGCAGTATTAATAGCTGTCCTGCTGTTATGGCTCAGTTGGTTGAGTGTTGTCCTGTGCACTGAAAGGTTGTGGGTTCGACTTCTGGTCAGGGCACATGCCCAGGTAGCGGGCTCAATCCCCAGTTGGGGTGCATGTGGGAGGCAACCAATTGATGTTTCTCTCCCTTCCCTTCCACACTCCCTAAAAAAAAAAAAAAAAAGATAATAAATACAATAACAGCTGTATTTTTAAAATATTTCCTACGTACCAGGTTCTATGCTAGGCACTGTACTGTATCATTGACTCCTTACAGTAACCCTGTGAATAGGTGGCATTATTATTGGCATTTTAGAGATGAGGAAAAGGGTTCAGATTGCTTAATGAACCTCCTCAAAGTTACACAGCATAAAGGTTTATATGGTTTGAAATTCAGGTCTATCAGACTTCAGAGCCATGCTCAGCCACCTCTTCATACTACCTCTCACAAGGTATAATTGTGCCACTTAGACAGGTCTTGCATTTGGGCAGGTCAGCCTTCCCAGCCCTAGTTTCCTTATCAGTAAAATGGGCCTGACTCCGCCTTAGCGTCCAGGGCTGGTTGTCACCAGCAAGGGAGAGACTGCTTCATCCCCTTGCTGAGCTAAGTATGACTGACATATATCAAAATGGTCTGCCAGCTGCTCTAGTCTATCACTCTTTACACTTTTAACAGCATTCCTTTTTTGTTTGTGTGTTTTTCAGCAACTCCATTCAAGCGTGAGAACAGGGAATCTTGAAACCTGTTTGAGGCTGTTATCTTTAGGAGCACAAGCCAACTTCTTTCACCCTGTAAGACAGCAGGAATTGATCTACATATTAAATTGAAACTAAGTGGGTTGTGTTCATGTAGCCTTTTCTTTATTAAATTTGCCTTTTTGTCTACGTTTTATTAATGATTCTTAGGAAAAAGGAAACACCCCACTCCATGTTGCCTCCAAAGCAGGACAGATTTTACAGGCGGAATTATTGGCAGTATATGGAGCAGACCCAGGCACACAAGATTCCAGTGGGAAAACTCCTGTTGATTATGCAAGGTTAGAGACCTAGATTCTTGTCACTTCTCTCTGTTTGGGCTTCTTTGTATTTTGTATGATTCATTGTTAAGTTGCTAAATTGTGTATGGTTAACATTTAACCCCTTATAAAGATTTACATGCAGTTATTTTCAGATGACTTTTCAAATGAGTATCAGCTCAGAACCTGGGAAAGTAGAACCATAACCAGTCTGCTTAGCTTCCAATCTTTTGTGTGATTCTTTATAATGCTATGGTATTTAAGCCATAGTTATACTTCAAATCAAGTACTAAGAATGGCAAAACGCACTCCTCAATTTTTATATGTTTTTAACCATTGCTTAAACTTAAAAACAAATGTGTATGAGTAGGTAGATATGTGATTAAACGATTATAGTAAAACTAGAGGCCCAGTGCATGAAATTCGTGCACGGGGGCGGGGAGGGGGGTGTCCCCTCAGCCCAGCCTGCACCCTCTCCAATCCGGGACCCCTCGGGTGATGTCCGACTGCTGGTTTAGTCCCGATCCTGGGGATTGGGCCTAAACCGGCAGTTGGACATCCCTCTCACAATCCGGGACCGCTGGCTCCTAACTGCTCAGCTGTCTGCCTGCCTGATCGCCCCTAACTGGCCCCCCTGCCAGCCTGATCACCCCTAACAGCCTCTGCCTGTCGACCTGGTCACCCTCCCAACTGCCCCCCCCCTCCAACCAACCTGTTCGTCCCCAGCTGCCCCCCCCACCCCGCCAGCCTGGGCCGCCCCCAACTGGCCCCGCCCCTGCCGATTAGATGAGACGCCCCATGCAGCCTGCTGTTCGGTCATTTGGTCGCCCCTCACTGCCCCCCCTGCCGGCCTGGTCGCCCCATGCAGCCTACTGTTTGGTCATTTGGTCGTCCCTCACTAACTCCCCTGCTGGCCTGGTCTCCCCATGCAGCCTGCTGCTCAAGTTGTTTGGTTGTCCCTCACTAACCCCCCTGCCAGCCTTGTCCCCCCACTCAGCCTGCTTAGTCATCTGTTCGGTTGTTTTGGATGTGACAGCCCTTGGCTCTTTATATATATATAGACTAGAGGCCCGGTGCACAAAAATTTGTGCACTGGCGGGGGGGGGGGTGGGTGGTCCCTCAGCCCTACCTGTGCCCTCTCACAGTCTGGTACCCCTCGGGAGATAACCACCTGCTGGCTTAGGCCCACTCCCTGGGTGGCAGATGGCAGGCCTGGATCCCGCGCTGGGTCGCAGATGGCAGGCCCGGATGGCAGCGGGCGGGCAGCAGATTGCGCTGTCCCGCCCCACCTGCAGTATGCAAATTTAATGGCCATCTTTCTTGGGTTAATTTGCATACTCATCTGATTGGCTGATGGGCGTAGCGAAGGTATGGTCAGTTAGCATCTTTGTCTTTTATTATTATTATTATTTTTTTTTAATATTTTATTGATTTTTACAGAGAGGAAGGGAGAGAGATAGAGAGTTAGAAACATCGATGAGAGAGAAACATCCATCAGCTGCCTCCTGCACATCTCCCACTGGGGATGTGCCCGCAACCCAGGTACATGCCCTTGACCGGAATCGAACCTGAGACCCTTCGGTCCGCAGGCCGACGCTCTATCCACTGAGCCAAACCGGTTTCGGCGTCTTTGTCTTTTTATTAGTGTAGATGTCAATTCTAGGGTTTATGTAGGATCATCTTTCCTTCTTTTTTTTAAATTAATTGCTCTACAGAGGATAAAATGGGTGAAATGACAAAACTCTGCCCTCCCAGAATTTACTGTTCCATGGAGATGATTCATAAATGCATAAAAGAGTTAAATGGGGTAAGATAATGTGGAATTTGTTTGCCAAAATAGATAACTGGTCTTAAAAGGCATATATAGGGTTCTTCATTGCAGCCAAACCATTAAGAAATTTCTTTTCCCTGGTCTTTGAAGAATGGGTTAGATTTGGGTGTATGAAGGAAGAGCTCAGGCATTCCAGGGTAGAAAAAGGCATGCGTCAAGTTCGGGAAGAAGGCATAGGCGGGGCATGCTCACCACAGCAGGGGACCTGACTGGATGGCACAGAATCATCTGGGAATAAAAGCTACAGTATTTAATCAGATCTAAGACTCCACTGTTTGTACGGGTCACTCATTATTTTATATACCACTAAAAAACTTGGTCAATTAAATGATGAGGTACCATCAATTGTAGGATACTTCCTGATTTCACAGATGTTTACAAAATGAGAAAAAAAAGATGTGCATCACAAAATCAAAGTTGTGTGATAGGGAGGATATTTTGTAGTGCCTTGAATTGTAGGAAGAGAAACTGACAGAAACTAACTTCATCTTTTAAGAGGAAGAGAGCCCTTAGTATATGATACGTATTATCACTTACCTTGGAATTTTTTCCTGGGTACCGTGCATATGTGCCTTGTTACTAGAAGTACTTCAAGCAGCTTATATATTTACTTCATGAATGAAGAAAGGTAAACTTAATATTTTCTATTACGGAAATTAAAGATAAGGAGGTGAAAGCTACAGGTGTGGGTTAGGTTGGTCCGTGTCTCTGAATAGAGGACCACATGGTTACTAAACTCTCATCCAGGTCAGACAGCTCCATCAGCAGCATCTAGGGGGAATACTGTGTTTAAAATACTGATGTCTGTACTCATCCATTCTTCACAGACTCAGAATTTCCAAGGATGGATTCTGGATATCTGTATAAATTTTAAAGCACTTTTGTTAATTTTTGAGAATCTCTACCCTAGACCATTTATTAATTTTATCTTCTGCCTCTTTAGATGAAGTTATTATTTATCTGATAAGTCCTTGAATTCTTTATAAAGTATTCTGTCTTTTATATAAAAGGAGAGGGAGTATTTCACATTATGAGAACAGTTTATGAATGTGGGAATCAAAGTAGATCTTGACAGTTTACCTCACACAAAAAGGTTGATTATTCTAAAAAGTCATGTTTGATAAATTGCTCAGGTGTCTCAGGAGACATCTCTGTCCTTTTTTATTCTAGAGCCAGTGGCTGATGAGCAATATAAATGGTACTTTGTTTTCTCTTGGTAGGCAAGGAGGGCACCACGAGCTGGCAGAACGCCTTGTAGAAATACAGTATGAGCTGACTGACAGACTCGCCTTTTATCTCTGTGGCAGGAAACCAGGTGAGTGAAAGGACATCAGCCTCTCCACACCTCCAGTTAGTCAGTCTCTAGAAAAACAAGTTGGGACACTATTACTTATGACCTCTGCTTTAATATATCCTCCAGAACATTTTGAATAAGGATTTCTATTTGAAATGATAACTACAGCATTTTCAGTTATATGTAAAAGATGTTGGTCAAATCTCCTTGAATTTTAGCTTTTATAACTTTACTAGAGGCCCGGTGCACAAAAATTTGTGCACTCGGGAGTGGGGGGTCCCTCAGCCCGGCCTGTGCCCTCTCGCAGCCTGGGACCCCTTGGGGGATGACCACCTGCTGGTTTAGGCCTGCTCCCCGGGGGATTGGGCCTAAGATGGCAATCAGACATCCCTCTGGCAGCCCAGCAGCCCTCGGGGGATGTCCACTTGCCAGCGGGGAGCAGGCCTAAGCTGCAGTCGGACATCCTTAGTGCTGCTGAGGAGGCAGGAGAGGCTCCCACCACCACCGCTGTACTGGCAGCCATCAGCCTGGCTTGTGGCTGACAGAGCTTCCCCATGTGGGAGCGCACTGACCACCAGAGGGCAGCTCCTGCATTGAGTGTCTTCCCCCTGGTGGTCAGTGTGTGTCATAGTGACCAGTCATTCCCAGTCTTTCTGCTGTTAGGGTCAGTTTGCATATTACCCTTTTACTATATAGGATAGAGGCCTGGTGCACGGGTGGGGGCCAGCTGGTTTGCCCTGAAAGGTGTCCCGGATCAGGGTGGGGGTCCCGCTGGGTGCCTGGCCAGCCTGGGTGAGGGGCTGAGGGCTGTTTTCAGCTGGTCACACCCCCTTCAGGGTGGGGATCCCCACTGGGGTGCCTGGCCAGCCTGGGTGAGGGGCTGAGGGCTGTTTTCAGGCTGGGCAGCAACTGAAGCTCCCAGCCTCTCCTTTTTTTCTTTTTTCTTTTATTCTTGGATTTATTTACCTTCTATAATTGAAACATTGTTGCCGTCACTGGCGCTCCCAACTCTGAGGCCGCGGCCGGCTGAAAGTAGGTATCTGGGGTTTGTTTAGCTTCTATAATTGAAACTTAGTTGCTTTCAGAGCTCAGAGCTGGGCCGTGGCAGGTGGGGAACCTTGGCTTCCTCCATCACTGGAGCAAGCAAGCCTCATGTTTGCTTCAGCTGCGTGGCTGCCTGCCGCCATCTTTGTTGGCAGTTAATTTACATATCACCCTGATTAGCCAGTGGGAAGCGTAGCGGAGGTATGGTTAATTACCTTTTTTGTCTTTTATTAGATTAGATAGGATTTTAGCTCTAGATAGTGACTGTTTCAGGCATCAAAGAGCATAATTAAACCAAAACTGAATGTGCACCACAGTTCTTGGCACATAATGGGACTAAGAATGCAAGAGCAAAGCAGTCACTTTTGTAGTTATTTGAAGAATTCTGCTGTCTAAGGAATGGAAAAAAGCCCAAAAGTGAATTTTACCTTTAACCACCTTTATTTTTGAGGTGGAACTGGGGTCATTAAACCATGGCTCAGTGGGCCAAATCCAGCCAATGACCTGTTTTAAAATAAAGTTTTATTACAAGATACCCAGGCCGATTCCATATTGTCTATGGCTGCTTTTGCACTGTAGAAGCAGAGTTGAGTAGGTTGAGTAGTTGTGACAGAGACCATATAGCTAAAGAGCCTAAAATATTTATCTGGCCTTTTACAGAAAAAGTTTGCCAACCCCTGATGTAGAATATCCACATACATGTATATGGTGGTTCTCCACTCTGGTTGTACATAGAGTTAGGAGCCCCTGATGAGGGTCCAGTTCCTGGTGAGATGGGTAAGCACACCCCACCCTGTCTCTCCTGAATATCATTAAAAACCCTGGACCAAATGCATGGAATAGCTATTTATGGACTCTAGCTCGTGGATTAGGGAACTCAAGGTACCATCAAGCTGGTGGTGAGTGTTCTGTACTTCTGATAAGGCCTCTACCGCAGCCTGAAACTGGAACTATATAACAGATGCAAAGAAGCCTTCTCGGTCTGGTATGAGGAACAGGAAGTAGGACTCCTACAGGACAGAGAGTTGGAGGATTCCCTTTTTAATTTTTTTTTTTAAATATGTTTTATTGATTTTTTACAGAGAGGAAGGGTGAGGGATAGAGAGTTAGAAACATCAGTGAGAGAGAAACATCAATCAGCTGCCTCCTGCACACTCCCTACTGGGTATGTGCCCACAACCAAGGTACATGCCCTTGACCGGAATCAAACCTAGGACCCTTGAGTCCGCAGGCCAACGCTCTATCCACTGAGCCAAACCGGTTAGGGCCCTTTTTAATCTTTTATTTTTCCTCCTTCCTTTTCCCCTTACCCTAGCCCCAAGGCAGTCCTGTGGCTAAATCAGCCTAAATCTCTGACCAAGAGCATGAGGGGAATCCTGATTGCTTTTATTTTTCTCTGTATTCTCTCACCACTTGGCCCAGGAGGTAGAACCTAACCTACTAAAACAAAAATACTGCCCAGCCAGTGTGGCTCAGTGGTTGAGCATTGACCCATGAACCAGGAGGTCATGGTTTGATTCCCAGTCGGGACACATGCCTGGGTTGGGGGCTTGACCCCCAGTGTAGGACATGCAGGAGGCAGCCAATCGATGATTCTCATCAACACATGCCTGGGTTGGGGGCTCCACCCCCAGTGTAGGGCATGCAGGAGGCAGCCAATCGATGATTCTCATCATTGATGTTTCTATCTCTCCCTCTCTCTGAAATCAATAAAAACATATTTAAAAAAAATTAACATTGTCCATAAAATGTAAGGAAGACTCAGTTTCACAACATAATATTTAAAATGTCCAAGATACCATTCATAATGACTTGACACCAGGGAAAGCCCGAAGACTTGTAAGGAAAAAGTAGTCAACAGACACCAACCTCAGGTGACACAGTTGTTGGAATTATCAGACAAAAAATTTTAAGCAAACAGGAACACCGTGCTCTAAAAAGTGTGAACATCTTGAAACAAATAGAAATGAAGAAAATCTCAGCATAGAAATAGAAGATAAAGAAATGAACCAAATAGAAATATTATAACTGAAAAATATAATTCACTGGATAGGCTTAATAGCAGATTGGAGATGACAAAAGAGTGACTAATTGAAAATAGATCACTAGAAATTATCCAGTTTTGAACAATAGAGAGAAAAAAAGAGTGGAAGGAAAATGAAACTAGACAGAGCCTCAGGGACCTGTGGGACAATAGCAAACGGTCACATTTGTATCAGATTCCCAGAAAGAGATCAGAGAGTGATACAGAAAAAATGCTTAAAGAAATATTGGCTAAAAACTCTAAATTTGGCAAAAGACATACGCTTACAGATTCAAGAAGCTCAAAAAATTCCAAAAAGAATAAACTCGAAGAAATTGTCACTCAGATATATTAAAATCAAACTGCTGAAAACCAAAGACAACAAAACATCCTGAAACTGCAAGAAAATAAATGACACATAGAAGAACAATTATTTGAATGACTAGATTTCTCATCAGAAACCATGGATATGAAAAGTAGAACAATATTTTTGAAGTGCTGAAACAAAAAAGAGTTGTCAATCCAGGACTCCAATTTTCAGTGAAAATAACCTTCAGGAATGAAGCAAAATAAAGACATTTTAAGATGAAGGAAAAGAAGAGAATTAGTTGCTCTAGCAGAAATGCTAAAGCAAGTTCTTTGTGAGTAGAAGGGAAATGATACTGAAAGGAATCTTGGAACTTAAGGAATGAAAGAAGAGCATCAGAAATGATAGGTATCTGGATAAAAAGAACAGCTATGTTTTCCCCTTAAGTTCTTTAAGATATGTATGATAGTTTAAAGTAAAAGTTTATGACATTATCTTGTGGGGTTTTCAGCATATGTCAATGTAATAAATTTGACAACTACAACATAAAAAGGGAGAGAGAAATATGGAGATAAGATTGCCTTCTTAAAATGATAAAATGTTATTTCTAAGTACACTGTAAAAATTTATGTGTATTATAAACCCTAGCATAACCACTAAAAAAAGACTACATATAATGTTATATGCTCAAAAATTCTAGAAATAAAATAGAATATTAAAATCAATCAAATAATCAAAAGATATTTTGACAGCCCTAGCAGTCCTGGCTTCTTCTGGAAGGTCGTCCTGCTGTTCGGCTGTTTGGTCAATTTGCATATTATGCTTTTATTATAGATAGATTAATTTGAAGGTGAGCCACCAAATCTCAAGGAAGCCCTGCCCATGCCACATGGAGATAATGTGGCATGCCACATGGAAGCCTGCTGTGAGCTAATTCAGCTCCCTAAGCATTCTTTCCATGGCTGAAGGTCATCACTTATACTGGGGATGAACAAAGCATAAGGATTAGGGTGAGTGTAGGCTTTCTGCTTAAAGATGTCTAGACTTCTATGCCAGAAAGAAAACGAGAATACGATCCTTGCCACTAGCCAAGGTTTCGGGAACTTGTAGCCAATTTGGCAACTTATGTTCCCCCACATAATTCATAATTATGGGAAGATACTAATTGCAAAACATAAATAGAGAAAATAATGGGGGTGCTCCTTTACAGATCTTAATATTTATATGAACAAACTTTGGCTTGGTTTCTGTTTCAGATCACAAAAATGGACAGCACTTTATAATACCTCAAATGGCAGACAGGTAAGGTCCTTTAAATACCAATCAATTTATCTGTCTCAAATATTTCCTTGGTTGTATAGTGTTTAAGTGTATAATATTTTGTGTTTAACAAAGCCCATACATTTTTCTCTTTTATTGCTATACAATTTGGAAATAAGACGGCTGTAAGTAAACCACCATATAAAACTTAAGTTTGAAAGAGCACAAGTAACAAATTTACTAATATGAAAATTGGAGTTCGTGATATTGTCACAGTATTAGCTAGTTGTGACAGTATGTTTATAGATTATGTTCAAAGAATATTTCTTTATTATATGAGAGTATATTCTTTACCTATAACGGGATTGGCAAGTTTTTATGTTGTTGTTAAAGGCTAGATAGTAAATATTTGGGTCATACAGCCTCTGTCACAACTACTCAACTCTACCGTTGTAGATGAAAGCATCCATGGACACTATGTAAATGAAGGGCATGCCTGTTCCAATAAAATTTTATTCTCGGATGTTGAAATTTGAATTTTATATATAATTTTCACAAATTATGAATTACTATTCTTCCTAGTCCCCCCCCCCCAACCATTTAAAAATGTAAACATTATTCTTAGCTCATTGCTAAACAAAAGGTGGACTGTATCTGTAAGGTCAGATGAGTTTGAAGCTGTAGTAATGAAACCTTAATTTAGGCAGTTATCTTTGTACAAATACTGTCAAGAGTTTATGAAATGATTAATTGCTATTCTAGATGTAATCTTGCCATTCTGGTTTTTCACATTCTGCCCTTTTGATATTTTCTTCTACCATGCTTTTTTTTAATACTTCAAAAATGGTGACTTTTCTCATTAGTTTTTGTGTTTTAGTTAGTAGGTGATTATTTTTCTTTTAACCATATTACATGATTATGGTATTTTTGTTTTTAATTTTATTTTTTAATCCTCACCTGAGGGTATTTTCCATTGATTTTTAGAGTCAAAGGGAGAGGGCAAGACACAGAGAGAGAAACATTGATGTGAGGGAGACACATCTTTGGTTGCCTCCCACATGCACCCGACCAGGGCTGGGAGCCTGCAACTGAGGTACGCGCCCTTGACCGGAATCGAACCCGGGACCCCTTTGGCCCACGGACTGATGCTCTATCCACTGAGCCAAACCTGCCAGGGTGATCATGGTATTTCTAGAAGGAGTTACTTTCACCAAGTTGTTCTGTTCAAAGTTTTCTCACTGACTCTTTTGGGCTATAGGTTTTTGGCTCTGACCATGTCCATGAACTCTAATTAATATCTTGATCCCTTGGCCATCTTTATCTTCTACAGAGTTCACACACACACACACACACACACACACACACACACAAAAAGATTTTATTTATTTGCTTATTAGTTTTGTACATTTTCTTAGCAGCCTGGATTTGTCTGAATTGGCAAAAGCTGCTAAGAAGAAACTTCAATCTGTGAGTATCTCTATTTCCTAGTGAACTCCAGTATGGGAACTGTATCCTGCTAATACCTGTTCTCAGCTCTTTCCTATTGCATCAGATGACTGTTTCATACTCGTAGATGCTGTTAAACCGGAAGCAGACCATTGAGTATATAGGCATGAAGACTGGAAGTACTATACGTTCAGTATATCCAGTTTATTGGCTCTGCTTCAAATAATGCCATTTTTCTTATTTTAAATGCGAAGACTGTGCTTTTGCTATTAGGAAGTTGTGTCGCCTTATAAGAGTTCCTTGTTTCTCCCACTGTAAATAAGTCAGTGGAACACACTTCTTGGGATTGCTTCCTGTAGCCTCATAGGCTGCTTAGGTGGATAAAAGCAGGTGCTGGAACGGTGAGTACCAGAGATTCACTTGCTGCCGTTGGGGTCCAGCCTCGGTTGTAACTTTCTTGCCTATCCCATGCCATTCATCAGAGCTTGATAAATGTATGCTTTAAAAAGCTGGTGGGCCTGCCCCGGGTATGTGCTCAGAGTTTGCCTAGTTCTGCAGGTCAAGCCTCGCTGTAATCTGAATGATTCTTTCCATCCTGCCCACCTTAGGGTTAGTCAGGAATCTACCTCTCTGGGAGTGAATTCTCTTTGTTTAGTCCCCACAGATGAAGCTTCACTAAGGCTCTTCCTCAGTTTTAACCACCAGATTACACTCCCCAGCTGTTCCCATTGCTCTCTGGATCAGAACCAAGATTTTTAACTCTAAGGACATCATCCAACTCTCTCACCTTTCAGTACCTGCCCTACCTCCCATCTTGTTCCCATTGTGTGTGCATTCTTGGCCCTTAGTTGCCACCTTCAAGTCCTCTTCCAGGAATCCTCTTTTCCTGCAGCATTCCCCTTTCCCAGCTTCCATTCCTTTCATCGTTCAAGCAGTTGAAAAATGACCACCTTCACAATGTAGGTAGTAGTTTTCCCAAAGCCCAACTGAAATTGCAGCTCCTCTAGTTTATGGCTTTCTCTTCATTCCCCTTTTCACAGAAAACCCTTTTCTAGAACATCATATAATATTAAGTACTAAATATTACATAAAGTGAATTTATCCTTACTATTTAACTGTAATATGAAATAAATGTATTTTATGCAATTTGTTTGGTGTCTCTGTGTTCTGTATGGTTTTGTGTGTCTGTGTTTTATCGCCTTTTTTAAATTAAGGAGGTCATATAGTTAAGATGATAAGCTTTGGAGTCAGCAATAAATATTCTGTGATTTCCTTTTAATTATGTAAACCAATTTTTATTATAAATAATTCCAACATTATAGATAAAGCCCAAGTTCCTTTTGACTATTTTACATTTGCTAGGCTGAAAGCTGCATGAAAGCTGGGGTTATGTCTATAATATCTCTAGCATGTGGCAGGCATTAGGTGAATATCTGGAACCAAGTTGAGTACAGCTCTCAAGAACTTGGATTCTGCATCAGACTGCTCAGGTACAGGTCTCAGCTCTGACAAGCTCCTTAGCCTCTCTGTGCCTTGGTGTCCTCTCCTAGAAAGGGAGATAATGATGTAGCAGGGGTTGCAACTCAGAACTGCTCAGTGAGGGTGAGCTGCTGCTGCTGTTGAACCCACCTGTGGTCTCCTCACAGGTGAGGAGACCAATTATAATTGCCAATTCAGTGTTTATCCTATAGTACAGTGGTTCTCAACCTTCTGGCCCTTTAAATACAGTTCCTCATGTTGTGACCCAACCATAAAATTATTTTTGTTGCTACTTCATAACTGTAATGTTGCTACTGTTATGAATCATAATGTAAATATCTGATATGCAGGATGGTCTTAGGCGACCCCTGTGAAAGGGTCGTTCGATCGCCAAAGGGGTCGCGACCCACAGGTTGAGAACCGCTGCTATAGTATCTCAATTCCTCCCTCCATCTCTACCTACTTCCTTCCTCCATCCCAAAAAACTAAGATAAATATAGTAAGACTAATAATGTATTCCTTGAATTAGCAAATGTTAACATTGTGAGAGACTTAAACTTGGATCTCAGATCTATTATCATTTATTGACTTTGTGACTTTAGGTAAGATACTAACTTCTGTGCCTCAATTTCCTTATTTGTTATGTGGAATAATAGTAGTTACTATTTCATAGAGGTATTGTGAATATTAAATATGATATTAACGCAGTGCCTTGGATGTAAACCCTCAATCAGTATTGCTGCTGTAGTTATTGTTAGTAATAACATTAGCTTGTATCTCCTCAAAGGAAAGAGACTAGATATTCATGATGAAAGTTCAAGTTTTCAATCCTTCATCACTTTATCCAGCAAAAGACTCTCAGAGTTTATTTTGCTATAAATGTAATGTAACCACACAAGAGAAAATTTGGAAAATAGAAAAGGGGAATAATCCTTATTCACTATACTCTTAACGGATTCAGCCTCAATATTTTGGAATACTTCTTCTAATTCTTATTTCAGATATCTTTATTTTTTAAATGAGGCCGCAATCATAATTTTAGAATTTTATATCCTGCTTTTTTCACCCAACAATGTATTGTATCCATTTTAATGAGTTCCCATGAGGTCTGTGTAACCAGCATTTAAAATTGCTGCATAAAATGCCTTGTGGTCAATGTGTAGTTGCCTATGTACTGAGCCCCATCTCAGTGCCAGGTACTGTGTGTGGATGTGGTGAACACAGTAGAGAATAGAGCAAATTCAGTTTACGCTCACAGAATGGGGAAGCAGTCAACTAAAAAGTAACAGCCACCAATTGTCAGGGTGCATTTATGAGGAAAAAAGCATAGAGAGAGCCGGAGACACCCTGGCAGGGACTTAGCCTCGTCAGGGTTAAGGAAGACCCTGACCTTGACCATCCTGGTTGCTGCCAGGCAGGTACCTAGTCTGTGGGGAGTATTTTGTTGGCTGACCCTGCACAGCATATGGATCAGACAACCTATCCTTTGTTGGGGATGCTCAGTTCTTCTGGGGATTGGGGCTACTACTGAGAAGATAGCAAAGAGGCTTAACCAAGGTCTGGTGATATTTTTTATTTATTTATTTTTGTTAATCTTCACCTGAGGATTTTTTTAAAATATATTTTTATTGATTTCAGAGAGGGAGGGAGAGAGAGATAGAAATACCAATGATGAGAGAGAATCATGATTGGCTACGCCCTGCACGCCCCATATGGGATTGAGCCTGCAATCTGAGCATGTGCCCTAACCAGAATCAAACCTGTGACCTGGTTCACAGGTCAACGTTCAACCATTGAGCCATGCCGGCTGGGCTGAGGATATTTTTTTTTTTAAAATATATTTCACTGACCTTCCACAGAGACGAAGGGAGAGGAATAGAGAGCTAGAAACATCGATGAGTGAGAAACATCGATCAGCTGCCTCCTGCACACCCCCCACTGGGGATGTGCCTGCAACCAAGGCACATGCCCTTGACCGGAATCGAACCTGGGACCCCTCAGTCCGCAGGCCGACGCTCCATCCACTGAGCCAAACCGGCCAGGGCTGAGGATATTTTTTCCATTGATTTTTTTAGAGAGAGGGAGGGGAGAGAAAGGAGGAGGGGGAGAGAGAGAGAAACATTGATGTGAGAGAGACACATCGATTGGTTGCTTCCTGCATGTACCCCAATGGGCCAGGGATCAGACCTGCAACCCAGGTACGTGCCCTTGACCGGGAATTGAATCCATGATCTTTCGGAGTGAGAGCCGGCACTCTAAACACTGAGCACACTGGCCAGGGCAGTGATATTTTTGTGCAGTGGCATCTTCTATCCTCTCAGAATTACGTCTTTTGGCATCTTTATCCTGCCAAGGGTTTATGACCCCTTATATTTGGGGGCATTGGCAAACATTCTCAAGAGCAAAAGAGAAGACTTAAAGTGTGATATCACATGAAGAGTAGAGCACTGCAACCTGTGTTCGAGGGAGGCACTGTAGATGTCTCTTACCTCCTGTATAGCGCAGCCCTGTCTGCATACCATAGGGGAGTGAGGCGCTATGGGAAGCAGATATATTGGAGGATCTGCACTATTTTGGAAATGTTATTGTCTGTGTTACAGTGGGTATTTACTAAGCACTGGCTTTGGATAAAACATTGGAGATAAAAGGGTGAATAAGTCACAGTCCCCACTCATTCTGCTAGTGTTAACCCTTGTCCCTTGTGTTCCTGATATTTTTTTACTTTCAGCTAAGTAATCACTTGTTTGAAGAACTTGCCATGGATGTGTACGATGAAGTTGACAGGCGAGAGACTGATGCAGGTGACTTAACATGGGGCTTTATCTAATATGCTTGTTATCAGTGGGCAGTGACAAGCTGCCAGCCTCCGTGTTTACTTGCCCAATTTCTCCTGTCCTGATAACACGTGTGTGGACATTGCCTTTTGTGTATGTTGGCTTCGGAGTGTGCTTCCTTGAGTCTCCCTAGTAAGGCGGGGCCGCAGCTCTCAGAGGAGCAGTGGCGCACCCATAGTGATGAGATTCTGTCTCTGGCTCTCTCCTCTGGCTAGTCTGGCTTGCCACGCAAAACCACAGCACCCTGGTGACCGAGACAACCGTCGTTCCCTTCCTTCCGGTCAATCCCGAGTACTCATCGACACGGAACCAGGCAAGTGGCTGAGCGTGAAAAGTGACCAGGGTGATATTTTGAGAATAGTTGATATCTTGGTATTTTATTTTTCCAAGACAGGTATTTTAATATTTTTGATTCAAATATTAATGGCCTTTATACACACAAACTTCACAAACTGATAAGAAAAGCAGTAGATAGCAGTACATGCCTGGGCAAGAACATAAAACAATTCACAGAAGAAATATAAATGGCCTTTCATGTGAAAAAATATTTAACCTCATTAGTAATCAAACAAAGCAACCTAAAGGCATTAATGAAAGTTTCATCAATCAAATTAATAAAGTGTATAATAAGGGGTACTCCAAAACTGGTAAGGATCTGGCTAGATTGGCTTTCTCATGCTGCAGATAAGAGCTTAAATTGTTCCAGATTTTAGAAAAACAATTTGCTAACTTATTTCAGAAGCCTCAGAATTAAGTGTCCATCCTTTCACCTGGGAATTCTTTATTTGGGGATATGTTCTAATAAAATAGAGAGATTCATGCGCAATGAACGATGTTCATTGAAGCACTGTATGTAGTAATAGAGCATTAAAAACAGCCTAAGGACCCATCAAGAGCAGAGAAGTTGATAAAATTAGGAAAGTCTTTTACATTTTATTGATTAATGGTTATATATAATGATGGTTATATATAATGATGGAATCTCAGCAGCTAGTCTATAAATTTATCTTGCAATTTTAAAATTTCCCTCCAAATTAATTTTTTATTACTACATCTATTTAAAAACTGTTTGATATTAGGGGAAAAAAAGCTTTAAGTAGAATTAATTTGGTTTTGTTCCCTAAAATAAATATGCATTGTGAGAATTTAAGTGTTATGTAGTTCTCCTGTGTAAATGGTTTTAAACTAATAGCAAGGAAAATGTTAATGTTGGTTCAGTTTGGCTGTGGTTGATGATGCCTTGATCATGCTGGCAGGTCTTTGCCAAAGTCTAACAATAGCCTGACGATTTTTATGTGAATATCTATGTGTGTATTTTGACATTTGGGAGTATTTTCAATTATTTTTTCACCTTCAGGGCAGACAGAAATTAGCTCGGTTTAATGCCCATGAGTTTGCCACGCTGGTTATTGACATTCTCAGTGATGCCAAGAGAAGACAGCAAGGCAGTCCTCTCTCTAGTTCAAAAGGTAACTGTTTCAAACCAAGTTTGCTTCTAAATTTCACACAAGTGCTAGATTTAAAGTTACAAAATGATTAGAGCAGTCATTAACAGAATAGCTTAGTTAAAACTCTATAAGTTTTATTGGTACCATGTTGGGACAAAAAGTTTACCTCCGTGAGCCCTGGTGAATTACAAATATTTCAACATTATTAACTGCTATTCAAATATATATCATATATGTGATTTTTCCCTCTTGGGTCACCTGTCTTTATTCCTATAAAGTTGCATCCTGAAATTAACCCAAAAGTCTGACTATCTTGTTAAAGTACTTAAGAAAATAAGCTCTCTTTATTGAAATTACAGCTCATCTGCTGTTGCTTACCTACAAAACTGAGTTCTAGCCCTAGCTGGTTTGGCTCAGTGGATAGAGCGTCAGCCTGTGGATTGCAGGGTCCCAGGTTCAATTCCAGCCAAGGGCACAGGCAAAGTTTGTTACTATAAGCTTTAGATGCCTACCGTCAGAGTTACTGTGGGTTAAATTGTAGAGAGCACAGTGCCTCTTTCTGAGTGCCCTTTGGAGGCTCGTTCCGTAGCTCAGGGACCTGTCTCTGTGCTGAAGAACATGCTACGTTCTGCCGCAAAACTGTCCTCGTGGGCTTTTTTCTAATTATAATACATTTTATTGTAAAATGTAAAACATTTAGACAGAAGAAATACATACCATAAAAATTAAGTTTTCAGTCCCAAAGACAGTAAGTACTCATTAGCTGACAACAATTTGTTCTTGATTTTACTGGTTTAACCAGGAGTAAACAAGTTCTAAAAAAGCTTATTAAACTTTGGTGAAGATGCAATGATAAGGGTGCTTTCATAAATATGGAGTACCAAAATGTACGTACTCTCTTGATTTGGTGGTTCCATTTCTAGGTGTTAATTGAGGAGAAATAATCAGAGGCAAGGCATTTTATATATATCTATATCTATATGTTTTATATAATACTGAAAACATTAGAAACATAACAGAGCAACATATTTGAATAGTATTGCACAGACTTTCTTTTCAGAGAATATATAATGACAGTATAAAGTAATAACTTTTAAAAACTATATTAAATATATTTTTATTGATTTCAGAGAGGGAGAGAGAGAGAGAAAAACATCAATGATGAGAGAATCATTAATTGGCTGCCTCCTGCACGCCCCCTACTGGGGACTGAGCCCACAACCTGGGCATATGCCCTTGGCCGGGAATCAAACCGTGACCTCCTGATTCATAGATCTATGCTCAACCACTGAGCCACGCTGGCTGGGCAAGTAATAATTTTTTAAATAAAGGTTTAGTTTCGTATAATACCTATTTTGTAAGGAAAACATTTACAACATACGTATGTACAAGTGAATATACTACATGTAAGTATAAATATTAATCAGTCCTCATTATTCACAAATTCCATATTTGCAAATTCACCTGTTCACTAAAATGTATTTGTAACCTCAAAATCAGTACTCATAGCACTTTCATGGTAATTTGTAGACATGTGCAAAGTGTTGAAAAACTTGAGTCACCGAAAGCATATATTCCCAGCTGAGATTGAATAAGATCACACTTTGCCTTTTGTTTCAGCTTTCATATTGTAAACAAGTGTCCTTTTCAAGGTCTGTGTAGTGTTATATTTTTCACATTTTTTGTGCTTTTTGTTAGTAATTTTACTGTTTAAAATGGGCCACAAGTGTAGTGCGGAAGTGCTGTTTAGGGTTCGTAAGCACCCGAAGGCTGTGATATGCCTTTTGGAGAAAATGCCTGTGTTAGATAAGCTTCGTTTGGACATGAGTTCTGCTGTTGGCTGTGAGTTCAATGTTAGTGAATCAACAATACATATTGTAGGCGTCTTTAAACACAGCACACGTAAAACAAGGTTACTCATTGGTCAGTCGATGGAAATGTTGTGACCAGAGGCTTGCAGGAACCTAACCCTGTGTTTCCATTCAAAACAGTGGTTCACTATTTACTAACTCAGTCTTTATAGCAACTTTATAGACCATAACTGCTGCAAATAATAATTATATATATATGCTTATGGAATGGCCGTGAATGATTCACTAGTTTTAAATTTTCTATGTTGAATTTCTATTACTTCTATAATCAGGTGCTATGTGTGTTTTAAATATTAATTTTAAAAATTAAAATTTACGTAACCATAATTTTATCATGCAGATATTTTCTATCAAAATACCCAGAAACAATATTGGAAGGTAGAAGTTAGTTTGAGTTACCTGAAAGAAATTGGAGAGACTTGGATAATTTGTGAACTCTTTTATTCAAAATGTGTTAGAGCCCATAGAATCATCCCTGCTCCCTTGTAGACCATTCCTTTCTGATACGCACATGTGTGTGGCTGCTGGGTCGTTCTGTTTTTTCCTCTCTCTCTCTGGCATCCAGCTGACTAAATACCTGTGCCTGCTCTTTGAGCACCTAGTGTTTAGGCTCCACTTTAACAATCTTCTTTCTATCTTGACTTGATGTTACCTGGTTAATCACAATTAAGCTTGCATTAGCACAGCTTCATCTTCATGATTTGGAGCTATACTCTATCTTACTGAATGATTAGAAACTTGGGAACCAGCCTCCTTTATCTGAGTAGTTCTTTCTAATGATTTGCCCACATTTGGTGAGCAGCTCAGAGGGATGCTTAAATCTCTCTGTGCAGTTCACAGTAGGCTGTCTGTCTGGTTGCTGTCATTTTCCTTCAGTCTTTTAAATAACAACCCAAAACTCCTCCCAATAGTTTTTTGGGGAAAAACTTTTTCTTGAGGCCCTGGCCAGGTAGCTTAGTTGGTAGAACATTGTCCCAGTACTCCAAGGTTGCATGTTCGATCCCCAGTCAGGGCACATACATGAATGAACCAATGAATGCATAAATAAGTGGAACAACAAATCAATGTTTCTATCCCTTCCTCCCTCTCTCTAAAAATCAGTAACTTTTTTAAAAGTTTTTTTAAGCCTGAATAAAGTTATTTGCTTCTATTGATAGACAATGTGGAGCTCATACTGAAAACCATCAATAACCAGCACAGTACTGAGAGTCAAGACAATGACCAGCCGGACTATGACAGTGTGGCATCAGATGAAGACACAGATCTGGAAGCCACTGCCAGCAAGGCAAACAGGCAGAAGGTGAGATGACACACAGGAAGGGAGACTGTGACTCTTTTAAAACTCTTCTCCTGCAGAATTGCCTTACTTGTAAGCCACTTGAGGGCTAGCCCTGTGAAAGTGCTATGAGGTAGAGTTGAGTTCACTAACGAGCTTGGGCCATACAAAGGTCAAGCGAGGTAAACAGTTTTAAAACTGGGAGTCCTTGGTCCCTGAGTCCTTGCTGAATCACATGGCCCTGCTGCAGTTGTGACTTTATAAAACTTGTGAGGAGGGACTGTGTGTTTTATTCTTTCAACAAATTTTTATCAAGTGACTTCTCTGAGTCATACTCCCCTGAATGAGGTCTGGTCCCTTTCCTGTGAGGCTCTCACTGCCTAAGAGGAGAGGTAGCTGCAGTAAGAGGCACACAGTGACATGTGTCATAAGCACCAACACAAGAGACTGGGAGCCGAGAGGAGACACAACTTGTTGCTGAGGGGGAATAGCCGGAGGCTTTGTGAATAGGATGGCTCTTAACGTGTCTTAAAGGATGCATTGGTTTGGGCATGTGAAAAGGCAGGGAAGAGTGGTCTAGGCAGAGAGAAATGAAATAAAGCATCTGGCTGGGGGGCGTAGGGGGTGGGCTGGCGATGTGTAGAGAGCCTAAAAGGAGTGGGAACCAAAGTTACAGCAGAGGGCGGAGGTCACACCATGTGCCAGACTGAAGAGCATGGACCTCGGCAGGCAGAACCGAGCCCAGGGAGCTTTTAGGGAGGGCAGGAGGCAGTGGTCAGCCATTTGGGGTCCTGTGTTTTGGGAGGAGTGTTCTGGAAGGTCAGAGAGTAGAGGAAAGGAACCCAATCAGGATACTCCCCAAGAGCTGGCCAGGCCACTTCAGGGCTTGGCTGGGAGGGTCCAGATGGGGGAGAGATCACTGTAGCAGAGTGTGAGCGCAGGGCGGGGCAGCAGGGGTTGGCTGGTCCACCCTCTGCTGAATCCCCAGGACCTTGGCCCAGACCTAGCCCACAGAGGGGCTCAGCAAACATTTGAGAATGAGTGGGCAGGAAGATAGAATAGACCAGCCCTGGCAATAAGTTGAATGTTTGAACGGGGGAAGATAGACTTACAGAAGATGTGTCAGGGATTTGTAGCTCACATGACTGTGAGAATGGTAGTGCCATTGGCAGATGCAGGGAATGCGGAGAGGACAGCGAGGGTCATGTGTCTGAAACACCCCTGCCAGGTTTCCCCAGCAGCACTGCGTTCACTCGGTGAAAGCGAAGGTCATGGCAGGACCCTCGGGAAAGGGTCCTCTGTGGACTGACGGGCCTCCCCCTCCTCTCTGCCCTGCACACCCACTCCCTCTAGCTGAGCTCTGCCGCTGGCTGGAACGTTCTTCCTCTACACAGCCACTTGACTAATGTCCTCACCTTCTTTAGGCTGCCGCTCACATCTCACCTACCCAAAGGCTTTCCCCATCTGTCGAAGGAAAATGCGCCCACCTTCAGCCCTACTTGAGCTCCTTAGCCCCTTACCCTTCTCCATATTATCTCTTTTCCACCACATTTACCACCTTCAGTCAGACTGCATAGTTACTTGTTTTTATTTTCCCCTCCCTCACTCTGTTGGATATAAATGCCATGGAATAGGAATCGTAGTCTATTTTATTTTCTTATATATCCCCAGAACACTGCCTGGTGCTCAATAAACTTTTGTTGGAGTGAATGAATTAAAGAATGAATAAAAAAGAAAAATGAATGAGCAAGGAAAGACAGACAAGACAAATGCATTTAAAGAGTCATTGTCAGAGTAGGTTTATAGCTCTACTGCCTATTCTGTTAGAAAATATTGACTTTAAATTTTTTCACATATTATAGTAACCCCACCTTTATGTTTTCTTTTTGCATTACCCTCAGAAGCCTTGATTTAGTTTGATTAACTTTGCAGTCCAGTTGGCATGGTCAGAATTTGAAATTCTTTAGCTGTTAGTCTTGAATGTTATCATCGTCTCAGATTGTGAACATTTTCCCCAATTTATTTTTAGAGTCTAGATTCAGATTTATCAGATGGACCAGTCACTGTGCAGGAATTTATGGAGGTCAAAAACGCTCTAGTGGCTTCTGAGGCCAAGATACAACAGCTAATGAAGGTGAATAACAACTTGAGTGACGAGCTGAGAATTATGCAGAAAAAGGTAACATGTTAATAAATGCCAGGATGATTGACGCTTTAACCCCATAGTATAAGGAAGAATCCCAGGCACAATACTTGTGGTTAGAGGGAAGAAAAACAGTTATTGTAACAGACCTAAAAACCTTTGGGCCAAGCTGTCTTTTTGGAAGTAGTGTTTGGATATTGCAGGTAAAGTAGCTTTGATAAATAAATCCAGAGTAAGTGTCCCAATAGGAGAAACATACAACCTATTAGGTGCTTATCAGTTATAGTAACCCTTGCACCATTCTGTGCCTCCTGGGATCCTGGATGCCACTCCGTGGATGTGATTCTTCCTGTTGCTCATTTTACAAGAATAATCATAGCGGGAAGACAGAGCAGATGAAAGCCCTGGACGGGTATATGTGTTTATCAGCATTCCACATCATACCCCACCCCACGCCATGCAAGGGGTGCTGTCCCTCTTCACTCTTATTCTAAGTTGTTATTCACTCCCGCCCTGGCAGCCCTGTCCCGCATCCCACTTTATTTTTCACCAGTGCTTAACCACTAGTTTATGATGTCCTCAGAGCCTGGAGCAGGGCCTGCCACAGAGCAGGTTCTCAGTGAATATAAGAAAACATTGTTTACATTAGTGAGAGATGTTCACTAGTAAGAACCCCATTTGCTTAGCATTTTCTCGTTCACTGCCTTTTAAGAGAGTCAGAAATACATTAATATATTAATCCCTAAAAGAAGTGTGGCTAACAGTAGCAAGGAATTTGTTTAACACTTGGAGTGCGGGTGAATTTCCCGCCAAAATATAAGATGGCTCTGTCTTTTGGTTTTGTTCCATCCACCAAAAGGGTGGATTACAAACAAATATTTGGTAATACGCAGTTACAATCGGCCCGAGTTTACACGTTTCCCGCACTCCACCGCAAATCTATATGAACCGAGTTAAAGACGGCTCCCGCGGAGTACGCGCAATTCACGCGAGCCGACTTAACTCGTTTCCCGCACTCCAAGTGTTTTAAGATGAGGATTACATATGTAATTTTTTATGAGAATCCTAAGAAAGTTGAAAAATTTTAAATTCTGCCCAAGACTTCGCAGGTACTAATCCCATCATTCAATTCTCCCAATATGAGATTTTGTACACTTCCCTTAAACAGAAACAAAACAAAGTCATTTGAAGAGTTCTGCTTCACAATCATTATCAAGAACAGAGGGCGTGGTGCAGTTCACTGGTGGCTGGACCCTTTTCAATGATGCTTCCTAAAGGAAGGCCACAGGAATAGGGGGGGCTGTGCCCTTCTGCTTGTCAGGGAAGTACACTGCAGTGCGCCCTGGCCTGGGCGTGGCCTAGGGTTCTTTTGATGTTGGGTTCTAGATCATTTGTTGAGACATACTGAGATAGATGGCTCTACTAGCTCTAATAGAAGGGACAAGAAGATCAGTCAGATTTTAACCTGACACTTGTTCTGGGCCTCGCTGGCCCTGGTGTGCAGCCATAACATACAGGGCTTGCACTTCCTCTGTCTTTTCTGAAATACCTTTTGTTTAATAAATGACAGATTGACCCATTAATTGAACTAATAATTTTGTTGAGGTGCCTTTTTCTGAAACATGCTGACGTTGCCATCAGCTTTTTATTCTTTAATGCTCCTTTTAGTACTTGTAGAAATTGCCAGAGATAACCTATCTCTGAAAGCAAATGTCTTAAGCTGCTTTAAGAAATAGAGAGTGAAATTATTTGCTGTTGCTCATGGATTATTTCCTCAATTCTTGGAAAAGCTTTTGATTTCTGAAACTATTGGATTATCTGTAAATTTTCATTTCCTGTTATACTCCTTCGAAATAAAAAAAAAGTGGTCTAGTTCTCAATAAGATAAGTATCATTCAGATTCATCCAAGACGTCTCTCTAAATATAGAATACTAAAGTTCTTAAAGATTCAGACCAGGAAATGTGCTCATCAAAAACACTTGCAAGCAAAGTCCAGACTGGATGTTTCAGAGACATGAAACATCCTTGTCTTCAACTCCCTAAGAGAAGGCTTTTACATAGACAGACATGTGACCAGACACCACTCCTTCATCGGCAGGCGTGTGTCAGTTAAGCTCCTCACTCTTTGGACCTTGACCATTTCACTTTAGGATATGGGTTCCCTAATACATAGTTTTGACAGGCACCTTAAGGCCTGTCTGTGTCCTGGAATGTAGGGATTTTCCATGGCTGCTTGTCACTTTGCAGCTGTTGTTCCTTCTTTGGAAAGGGAGTTGCAGATATGTTAGATCCTGAAAGCCTTTGTGGTGTAGAAGCAATCCTCAGTGGGTCACTCTTCGAGAAAACGGAGGATGAGGGTATTTCTCTGACAGAGGCCGTACGCCAGGCTTTCATAGAAGTTTGGCACTATTAATATAAAGGATGTGAGATATGTTTATTTAGCAAAGATGTATTGATTTTATTTCAAAGTTAAGTAAAGTTTTTTTAATATATAAATATATAGAGTTGACAAAGTAGCGTGATTTCTATTTGATCTTTCACATTTGAACAGTTGCTTGGAAAAGATGCTAATTAATGAAGAGGAGCAGCCACTATTGGTGCATTTTCACAGATCGGTGCTTTATAAATAAAAATTGAAAGTAACTCCTAACACTGAATGGTTTGCTATCGAAAAAGTAATGATCTTCTGGTGCAGATGCAGTTGCTTGCGGACCTGAGCCTTGGCCCTGGTGGGGAATTTGGTCAGATTTTACAGTCACTGTCAAAGAGTAGACAGCTGAACGCACACCACACCCAGCTTATAAATGTCATGGACGATGAAGGAGCACCAGAGGGGAAGGACATTGCAGACTGGACTCAGTTAATTGTGTTAAAATGCCAGACGCCAAAGAGTAACGTGATTCCTTGCTGATCCCTTAACTCTCATTCATCAGACACCATGAAGCAGCCTGCATGTGAGGAATGGAAAGAGCATTCAGGGTCTCCAAGTGACAGCCTCTAACTAAATGGGGTGGTGCCAGGCAGATTAGAGTGTTTAAAGCTGACACCATCATGGTCGCAATTTTGGGTGACAAAACCAAAGGAGAGAGAGGCCACATATTCCAGCTCTGGCTGAAAGCTGATCAATCACCAAAGGGAAGCGAGCGTGCTACGTGGAGCGTTCGGATGACGATGTTAACAGAACAGGTCTTCAGTTTTCTTTGTAATATGTTAATACAGCAAGCATACCATGATTCGGTTCCCTCTCTTTTTTTAACATATGCTACATTGTTTCAAACATCAAGAATTTTATGTAATAAAAACTTGTTGATTGTAATTTTTCTTGTTGGCTTTCTGGGAGGTAGCTGACCTGATTTTTCATAAGCTGAACTTCACTGTCTTTCTTGCTTTGCACAGCAACTCCAGTAACTTTTGTGCTGCTTCCATGGTGTCCGCTGGCGTTTTTGGCATTGGCAAATTGCTCAGGGCTCGTTTGAAAAGCAAGTTACCTAAGCGGTGTCTTAATGATCTCAAGCTCTTGCTAGCAACAGCCTTAGGAAAATCCAGAGTTCAGCTTGCCTGCAAACATTTCTCAGGTCTGCCATGACCACATTTTAAGTTGTTAGACATTTTGTTTTTAAAAAGTCTAATCTGCAACTTTTCCACATTTAGAAATTAAGCTATTTATCATGCTTCAGTGATGAAGTGAGTTGATTGCGTTTCATTCATTCTAGAAGATAGAGTTCTCATTTATAGTTGCCTTTTACTTTCAACCCAGCTAGCTATTATTGTTTTTATTGTTTAAAGCTAGTAGTTGTATGCATTTATTTGGTGTTTGCTTTTTCTGCTTGCTGTGGAAAAACACAGTCCCACTGCCAAACATTTCTTTCAGCTTCAAACACTCCAGAGTGAAAATTCGAACCTCAGGAAACAGGCCTCAACCAAAATATATCAGGTGCAAACTGGTTCTGAGTACCCAGATACTTCCAACCACTCTTCCTTAAAGCGACGTCCGTCTGCCCGGGGCAGTAGGCCCATGTCCATGTACGAGACGGGATCAGGTCAGAAGCCGTACCTCCCAGTGGGAGAAGCGAACCACCCCGAAGAGAGCAGGACGAGACTGCAGCCGTTCCCTGCGCACGTAAGTACCACCACTGGCGCTTCCACTGTTCCCTCTCTGTGCAGCCTGCCTCCTGCATTCCCTCTTCTGAACCTGTAGATGCCCACGTCTCTGCTTTGCCAAATTGGGCTATGAGAGTTGTGTTCGCTGTATTAACATGTTGACAGATGCTTGTGGGAGCACCACAAGCACACAGGGCCATTGGCCAAAAGTTTTCCAACAAAACCGATATTCTGGTTCTTGCTCAGCTCCCCTCCCCTTTTTCTCCCTATTGGAATTTTATTTTCTTATAACCAATTTTCTTCCCCATTTCCAAAAACAAAAACAAAGTGTTAAGGTTGCCACTAGAAGTAAGCGCCATTTTCTTTGAGGTCGATAAGACAGGTACATGCCCCTTGATGAACTAGAGCCCTTAGAATGCAAGGTGCCTTTTCTGCTCCTCCCAGCTGAGCAGGTGGCATCTGTGGTCTGGACACACACAGCTTCTGGGCTCCACAGTCTGCACGTGTGGTCAGCGTGCCTGCTTCGCTTCTGCATCCCCTGCCGCTCCATTGTGGAGAAAGCAAGGCTTTGTCCTTTCATAAGAATGAGGTGTAAAAACTCTACATTGATTTTACAAGTGTTGTATTCCAAAGATTGTGCTCTGTAAAGGCTGCTAACATCTTATTTTACAATGAGATAATATTGTGTTGTGAGGTGTTAAAATAATATATTTCTTTCAGATTTATTTTAAAAATCTGTTTTGACAAAATGTCACAGATGTTTTGAACTTATGTGATGATTTTTAGAGAATAATATTTATCTTTTTGAATGTCACAGTTGTTATTTTTTTCAGTCAAATTTTGTGAGTTTCCAAAAAATTCTCAGAGAAAATTCAAAGTAAAGAATATGTATGGTCTAGTAAATTAAGCCGTAGTTTAATTTTGTCCAGCTTTAGTGTGGTAAAATTACTGTGTTGTTATATTGTAATTGGGAATATATTACTTCAACTTTTTAAGTTGTTTGGGCTAAACATTCTAAAGCAGTTGAGTTGATACTTTTGGTGTAATGGAATGTCATTGAGCTAAATTTAAAAACTTATTTTTGTATAACTGAAAACAAAATTTAAGAAAAGCAAACTTTGTTAGTTTCCATAGTGTATTTTTTTATTTTAGAAACACTTAGAATGTAAGAATGTCATTATTTCATTATTGCAAAAGTTTTATATCTACTAAAAAATAGATTGATAACATACCAACTTTTAATCATTCATATAGTTTCTCATTTCATATTATCTGTCATAATTAAAAATACTTGTTTAAGGCTATTTATTTTTTAAAAAACTACCGGCAAATTTGACAAATTATGCTAGATATTATCTTTTCCCTTATATAGAAAAAATAGCTTTATAAATTCCGAGTAATTTCTGGAAGGCATTTCACTAAGGGATTAAATCTGTCTGGGCATCTGTCGTCGGCTAGTGTGGCAGTCAGCCGCCTGTCACAGAAATCTCAGCACTGACCTCGCGTATTGAGTAGCGTTTGGACTCTTCCTGGGAAGCCGGGGCTGAGGCCGGGGCTGAGGCCGGGGTAGGTGGTAGGGTTTTGTTGTATGTATTTTCCCGAGTGTGTTTCTTTTTCCCCTTTCAGATCGGGAGGAGTGCGCTTGTGACCTCCTCTTCGTCTCTGCCTTCCTTCCCCTCCACACTTTCCTGGTCCAGGGACGAAAGCACCCGAAGGGTTAAGTACACTCTGAATGGTCGGCTCTCTGGAGGAGGGGCAGCTCCTGGGCGCTGTGTGTTTCTGGCCCTCCTGTCCTGCTGATTGCCCTCTGTCCTGCATGAGGCAGCTCTTAGCAGCACGCATGGACACACGCACACGCCTATGGGAGACGGCCACCCTTTCGTCTAACTCCACATTACTCTGTTTCACGTACTATTTAACCAAGTTCACAATTCCCCCTATAACATTTATTCTGAGCATACTGTCATTTTAAACAATCAGAATATTAGCTGGCTGCTGGTTAAATATTGTAGTAGGGCACATCTGTCAGATTTGTTCAGAGCTTCAGTTATCAGATTAAAACTAGTATATTTGGACTAACTGAAACACCAGGACATCAAGCTTTTTCATTTCTTTTAACCTCTACATACTGTGTCAGCACCATACTTGACAAACCAAGGTTTGCCGTCCCTGGTTTCATGTAAGCATTGCAACACAGCAGAATCGAAGGTCTCGGCAGCTGTTAGTGTGAAGCTGCTCATTTATTCGTTGGTCAAGTCCAACTTTCCTTTTTGTTGTTGTTGTTGTTTTAATCCTCACCCGAGGATATTCTTCCATTGATTTTTAGGGAGAGTAGAAGAGAGAGGGCAAGACAGAGAGGAAACATTAATGTGAGAGAAATACATCCATTGGTTGCCTCCTGCATGAGCCCCAACCAGGGCCTGGGCCAGGGAGGAGCCTGCAACCAAGGTATGTGCCCTTGACCGGAATCGAACCCAGGACCCTTTGGTCCTCAAGCTGATGCTCTATCCACTGAGCCAAACTGGCTAGTGTTCCATTAATTTTTTAAAATTTTTTATTGATTTCAGAGAGGGAGGGAGAGGGAGAGAGAGATAGAAATATCAATGATAAGAGAGAATCATTGATTGGCTGCCTCCTGCACGCCCCCTACTGGGGATTGAGCCTGCAACCCGGGCATGTGCCCTGACCGGAATCAAGCCATGACCTCCTGGTTCATAGCTCGACACAACCACTGAGCCACACTGGCCAGACTCCATTAATGTTTTTAGAAAGAATGGAAGGAAGGGAGGGGAAGGGGAAAAGAGGAAGAGAGAGAGTAATGTCAATGTGAGAGAGACACATGGATTGGTTGCTGCTTGCACGCTCCCCTACCGGGGCTGGGGATAGAACCTGTGACCCTTTGGGGCACGGGCCGATCCTCTAACCACTTAGCCACACGGGCCAGAGCAAGTTCACTTTCTGATATATAACTTGCATTCCCAGTAACAGTACACAATTCAGGCAAACTCCATTTAGAATAGCCAGGTAACAAGTATTTATTAAGTACCTCCTCCATGCATAGCCTTTTTTTTTTTTAATTGATTTCAGAAACAGGAAGTGAGATAGAGAGAGGCGGAGAGAGAGAAATATCAATGCGAAACATCAATCAGTTTCCTCTTGCACATGCCCCGACGAGGGATCAAACCCACCACCTTTTGGTGCATAGGACAATGCTCCAACCAACTGGATCACACCAGCCAGGGTCAGACCCAGCTTTTTGGTTTGTCAGTGAAAGGGTCCTAGGGATTTAGGTGACATCCCGGCTACCAAAGGCACTGTCCATTTAAAAACAGTCTCATGCATGGAGAGCACATGCTGACAAGCTGGGACACGTGGAAAGAGCTCAAGCCTTGAAGACTCGCAGTCAGGTCCCCGCTCGCTCTTTTTTTACACCAGGGGCGTGGCCCTAAGGTGAGAGGAGGAAAGGTAGCTGTGGGTGCGGGACCCCCTTTATAGACACTAGGATTTGCACCTGGCCTTTGTCCATTCCCTGCACATGCGTAGGAATGATGAGTTGTTCTCTTCCACTGCCAGTGCCACATGGCACATCGGGCCCCGTAGGGGTTCTTTTCCACAGCTTTGAAGCAGTCTACTGAAAAGAACTCAAGTCTTCTGAGCAGTTCTAAAAAGGAACTGCAATGTTTTTATTACAATATTTCAGTTAAACTAAGGGGCAGTTAGTAGAAATGAAATATCTCATGAACTTTTACTTGAGTCAAGTAAACTTTTGTCCACTATGAAATTAAAAAACCAAAACTTTTTTTTTCTGGTAGTTTTGAGAATAATTGCAAGGACTGCTTTCTGAAATGGAGTTTTATACAAGATTAACAATTAAGTCATTTAAACTGATAATCCTGAATATTCCTGGAAGCTTTATCATGAGTTTAGGTTCATATGGCATGTCTGTATTTTTAAAAAATTACAAATCTATAGAATAAACTGAACCAGCACCAGCTATACCAGTGGTTCTCAACCTTCCTAATGCCGCGACCCTTTAATACAGTTCCTCATGTTGTGGTGACCCCTAACCATAAAATTATTTTCGTTGCTACTTCATAACTGTAATTTTGCTACTGTTATGAATCATAATGTAAATATCTGATATGCAGGATGTATTTTCATTGTTACAAATTGAACATAATTAAAGCATAGTGATTAATCACAAAAACAATATGTAATTATATATGTGTTTTCCGATGGCGACCCCTGTGAAAGGGTCATTCAACCCCCAAAGGGGTCGCGACCCACAGGTTGAGAACCGCTGAGCTGTACAGTAACTTTCTATTAACAGCTTTGAGAGAGCAGCACTTTTAACTAATGGATCTTACCTCTGCATGTTCACAATAATTTTTCACAAAATTAAATGCTGGCTAACTTGAAATCCTATATATGTTTTTGTCGACAATAATGAAGGACTTAATTTGTAAGTAACTGATTTCCTGCCAAACATTGTTTTCAGTACTGGAGAAACATTTCCTGAGTACTTTTATAGATATATGAGTTATTACTCTTCTAAAATGTTTAAATGAAACTTGGTACTTGTGATCATTGTGAGGGTAGTGCATTTGATTTGTAATTATCAAATTTATATCAAGGAAGGCAAAAACATCCATTATAAAATGGGGGATTTTCTGGGCTTACTTCTATTTTCTAGATTTTTCCACTGGAACAGCTCTGGATGAATTTTCCAGAATAATTATTTAAATGCAAGTCTTTTTATTACATTTACGTGTGTGTGTGTGTGTGTGCGTGTGTGTGTATAAAAACTGAAGGAAAATAAATTTAAAGATTGGTCAAACATTCCCTGTGAATGTAAGATGGGTGTTTGTTTTTGAGATCACCTGTGAAGAGCCCGCTTTCGCTGTTTCCTGCACTGGACACAGGGCCTGCCTTTGTCTTCCATCTAGACTTCCAGTGGCCAGTGACTCACGGCTTGATTCATGAAGCCAGATCAAATGGGCAGCAAGTGAAGCAGAAATGGCTTTCTTGTAGGAGATATAAGCGAAGGGATCTTAAAAGTTATAGTCAATTTACAGAACTTAAACTCTCTAACACTTTCAATCATTTGCCAGATGAATTTGAGTGGCTAAAGTATGAATTTTAGGAGCCAGCACAAGTGTCTTCTATTAAAGTGGCTAGGACCAAATAGAGCATTTGGGGGGAACGCGAAAGACCAGCAGACAGAGAAAGAGAGCCTTTTCCCTGGGAGAGGACAGCGAAGCCATGAGGATAGTAAGCAATATGTGATGTGAACTTAGGAGCCTTCCACCTGGGGGCTGGCTGCCTTGCCTGTCCACATAAGGGCCTTCAGAGGACCAGGCAGCATTACCAGTAAGGAGCAAATAATTACATTTTATGTAGATTTTTCTTAAACTGACTCACTCTAAGGTAGCCACTCTTGGATGAAACTATAGAGTCTCCAGACGTTTAAACAAGACTCTCAGTTTACAGCTGACCCTCAAACAACATGGGGGTTAGGGACACCGACCGCCCCTGCATTCAAAAATCTGATTATAACTCAGGTTGGCCCTTTGCATATGCAGATGTCCAACCACCAGTTGACCCTTGAACAATGTGGGTTTGAACTACGTGGGTCTGAACTCTGTGGGTCAATTGAACTGTTCAGGTCAATTGAAAAAATTTTTGTGTTCCTGGCCGGGTAGCTCAGTTAGAGCATTCTTCCAATAGGCCAAGATTGCGAGTTTGATCCCCGGTCAGGACACGTACAAGAATCAACCAATGAATGCATAGTAAATGGAACAACTAATCAGTGTTTCTCTCTCTTTCTCAAAAAAATCAATCCTGTATTCTTTTTTAAAAATGTGTATTTTTTTTTATTGATTTGAGAGAAAGGAAGGGACAGAGATAGATAGAAACATCTATCTGCTGCCTCCTGCATACCCTCTACTGGGGATCAAGCCAGCAATCCGGGCGCGTGCCTGACCAGGAATTGAACCACTGACTTCTTGGTGCATGAGTCGGCGCTCAACCACTGAGCCACACCAGCCTGCATTCTTTAAGGAACAACTGTATAGCAATTTCTTTCTCTTTTTTTTTTAGCTATTTCTTTAGCCACATTTTATTGCAGCATTAGTACAATTCCTTATGTCACATGTTTTTATTAACTCGGATTAAATTCAAGGTGTAGAGCTGGAAATAGCTTAGATTTGTATTTTTCGAAGTAGTCAGTTTAGGTTTTAAATCAGCTTCCACTGATTTCTATTCTAGATGAAGACATTCTCAAGCATTATGGATGAAATATATACTGAGGGAAACCCATGTTTACTAAATACTTCAAGGGAATGTGGTCCCCTTCAAATTTTGTCACCCTGGAAGGCCCTATACTTAGCTGTGCTGCCATTTGCTCAACACATTTTTACTATTCCTCTTAAATCTGCCACCCATTTTTTAATTTCCACAGTTGCATCAGATCTTTATATTTTGAGGGTTAGGTGTTTTGAGAAACAGATAAAAATGGTTGGAAATCAAGTATACACCAGGTTAATCTATTTTGATTCACAAACATGTGGCAATCAATTAACAATACTAGTTTTCTGGTCTGATAAAACCCCTCTGAGGAGTTCCTGGAGAGCCGTATGTGTTTTGAGCAGTGGTGAGCCTCAGGGCCCAGGCATGGGATATTGGAGGTAGCAGGAGGCCTGGGCTCTAGGTCCTGTTTTTCTGCTGAGTCTGGCCTTGGGTGTGTCATTTTCTCACCTGGTGTTAGACTACTAGTAGGTAATCTGCAGGCAGCTTCCAGTGCTGAAGGTCGATGGGTATCTAAGTGTTGGCATTTTGCTATTCAGTGGGACTTGTCGTATTATAGTTACACTCATATTCCTTAGAGAACTAAGTGTGGGTGTGTTGCTTGTGTGTCTGCATTAGTTTGTACCAAGGATCTGCTTATGGAGTAGCCACTGAGCTAAGAATGGTGCAAAAAAGGAAAAAGTATTTTTGTATCCACTGTTCATCTTTTACTAGATTTTCAATAAAGGGTTGGCTCCGTCCCAAATGAGATCTGGGCCATGCAGGTAATGATTCCTGGAGAAGAGCGGCTCCTAAGGAGTGTCTGATGCTCGGAACTAACGGGGGCCCCTTTTTTCTCTTGTAGGCGTCCAGACTGGAGAAGCAGAACAGCACACCTGAAAGTGACTATGACAACACTCCCAACGACACGGACCCAGATGACATGGGGTACAGCTGCAGAAGGACGTGCCGGGGGTCGGGCTCTGAAACCAGAGGTCTAGCCAGCCGTGGTCAGGAGACGTGGTTCATCACCTGCCCCCCTTTTCTCTACTTCCAGACCCATAAAGTCTTAAAATATTGGGGCATAAGTTCATAGCTCAGCACCTCTTCTCATCACACATTATTGCCACAGGCGGCTTTTTTTTCCTTTACCAGCACATTTTATGTCTCTAAGTCTCTGTAATGTGCTTCAAATCAGTACTTCACTTTAAGTTGCTGTGAGGTTATATTCTGCATTTTTACCCCATGAGACTGGCTCAATCAGGGATGGCTTTATAATGACGCGCCCTCCCCATTCCAGTTATACCCTCCCTTTCCCCATCTTTACCCTTCTTACAAGAGTCTTCATTTCCAGCCCCGTGGTGAATGAAAGAGCCTCCATGTGAGCTGTGGCTGCCTGTTGGTGAAACAGCCTTCCCATGAGTCTCCTGCCAGACAGGATAAAGGGAAACACAAAAGCAGCCTGCTCTTGTGTTCAGCAAATGCACGGCAGTGGCTCCTAGAAGCAGAGAAACAGCTGATAAGCACCTGCTGCATTAGCCTCTTCTGTAATGTCCACAGGTCAAGCAGGAAGGGAAGGCAGAGGAGTATGGTGTGGCAAGGTGATGGCTCAATACCAGATATGGCAGAACCCTCCACGGCCCCAAGCCCCATCCTCCCCAGCACCGAAGACGTCATCCGGAAAACTGAGCAGATCACCAAAAACATCCAGGAACTCCTAAGAGCAGCCCAAGAAAATAAACATGACAGGTAAGGGCTTAAGTCCTGCCTGGGAGAACATGCACCTGCTCCAGAGGTGCTGCTCCGGTTAGAAATGGAGTTTTTTCAATGTCCTGATTTTAAAGGTTTTTGAAAATTTCAGGTTTACATAACCGGTTTAAGAACAAATTTGTAAATTTGGGTTTGTTTTTTTACATGGTATTTTCAGTTTTTCATTCCTCTTATGAAGTACTCTGAAAATAAATGTCTCTAGGAATAGAGTCGCTGTGTCGTTGGGACAGTGATATTCTTAGTTCTAGGCAGAGAAGGGAGGAGCTCCTGAGAACTTGCCCTTGATTCTTCCCGGCACCACTGCTCCCTGTGATCGCCTTAGCTAGCCAGTTTGCCGACGTAAAAGATACCCTGAAAGGCACCTGATTTCTTACGTCTCCCGCGTGTGCCTGTGCTTGTAGTTGTATGTGTAGCAAGGGAAAAGGGTGAATTATATTTTTGGATCAACATGAAAACCCTAACCAGCAAAACGTAAAACTCATATGGATAACATACAACTCAAGATAGATGTGGTTCTCAGTAAATGTGATATTAATGGGTATACTAGTGCAGGAAACGTTATGTCTGATACAGGGGTTGCTGGGGGCATTGCCTTTTCCTTTGAGTGTCTGTGTGACCAGATGGATTGTTGGCCCCTTGAAATTGGCAAGTTAAATAACTCCTTATGCATTGGCATTTTTGCTATTACATGGTGTGTGGTTCTAACTGCTCACAAAGTTAAAAGTGAGGATTTCCCATTTGAAGGCATTTTGAAATAATATAAACCATTTTCTTGAGAGGTGATGGTTTCATTAAAATGTAAGCAGTCGTTTTTTTCTGAATAAGTTTTCCCCCCAATTACAGTTGACATCCAGTAATATTTTATTTTTATTTATTTATTTATTTATTTTTTAAAATATATTTTATTGATTTTTTACAAAGAGGAAGGGAGAGAGATAGAGAGTTAGAAACATCGATGACAGAGAAACATCGATCAGCTGCCTCCTGCACATCTCCTACTGGGGATGTGCCTGCAACCCAGGTACATGCCCTTGACCGGGATCGAACCCGGGACCTTTCAGTCCGCAGGCCGACGCTCTATCCACTGAGCCAAACCGGTTTCGGCAATATTTTATATTAGTTTCCGGTGTGTAGCTTAGTGGTTAGACATGTATATAATTTATGAAGTAATCCCCCACCTGGCACCATACATAGTTATTAAAATGTAGGCAGTCTTTATTAAAATGGTTTCGATACTAGATTTCTTACAAAGATGAAGTGCAGAGGTTGCTGATGACAATTTTTAAGCAGAAGCCAACTTTATGAGCTAAAAAATGGGGGAAGAATGTTTCTTGAAGGTGTTAAGTACTAGGATGGATGCTGAAGGACATTTGGCTTTGTGTCTTAGGAGGACAATTTTAAAACATAACCATGTGGGTTCTTGTGTAAGGCCAGACCTTTGTATTCACACCATATTTCCTAACATGCGAAACAGGCTCCTAAAGCACTTTCCCCATGTCCATCTCCCTCCTGGGCACTGTGGGTCATTTCTAGAAGCAATACCAGGCCTGGGGGCAGTGTGGTACCTAAGAGCTATCACGTAGCACCACGTTCAGTTTCTCTGTCTCTGCACCTTTTAACATGTACTAAGGGCAGAAATATAACATTTTTAAGGTGCAGGAAACTAGCCCCTATGTTGCTTGTTGTAATGCCAATAGTAAGAACCCTAAATGAAACCAAAGTCTCAAATATTCCAATTCTCATCACCTAAGAAGTCAGAATCACCAGTCATCAGTGAAAAGAGGCTTGCTATTAAAGTGTGAATTCATGGCCTCGTGCCAGGAGAGGCCTGTAGTGTGGCGGTGAGGGTCCTGGGCTTGGAGGCTGGAAGGCCAGGGTTGAGTTCTGCGCTCTCACCAGCTGCGGGACCTTGGACAAGTTCTCTGCCTCTCCAGGACTCAGTTTCCTAATATGAAAAATGGGTGTGATAGCAGTGCAGCCTCACAGGGCTGTTGGGAGGATTACATGAGTCTTTGCAAGGCACTGAGCATGGAGCCTGGCGCGCAGTCAGCCTGAACGACAGTATGAGGATGGGCAGATTTAATGCACTTTGTTGTCTGTGAGCTTGTCCAGAAGCAAAGTGCTGGCTGTGCTCATAGCTTTGTTTTTTGTTTTTTGTTTTTGTTAATCCTCATCTGAGGATATTTTTCCATTGATTTTTAGGGAGAGTGGAAGAGAGAGGGAAAGACAGAGAGAAACATCAATGTGAGAGAAACACATCAATTGGTTGCCTCCTGCATGAGCCCTGACCAGGGTCTGGGTTGGGGAAGAGCCTGCAACTGAGGTATGTGCCCTTGACCGGAATCGAACCCAGGACCCTTTGGTCCACAGGCTGACGCTCTATCCGCTGAGCCAAATCGGTTAGGGCCGTAGCATTTTATTACAAAGTCCTGGTAACTTTATGAGGAGTGGATAAGTGATTGAGCAAGAAGATGACGCTGCTATCAGTGCTTCCTCTTTGTCCAAAGTAAAGCTTTAGACATCCCAACAATTCAGATGCATTGAATTGAAGGAATTTAGAAATGTCTGTAGGTTTTTGCTTTTTAAAAATATATTTATATTAATTTCAAAGAGGAAGGGAGAGGGAGAGAGAAATAGAAACATCAGTGATGAGAGAGAATCATTGATCGGCTACCTCCTGCACAGCCCCTACTGGGGAATGAGCCCACAACCCAGTATGTGCCCTGACCGGGAATTGAACCATGACCTCCTGGTTCATAGGTCGACGCTCAACAACTGAGCCAAGTCAGCTGAGCTGTCTGTTAGTTTTTAAGTGTTGAGGTGTAGGCTCCAATTCTAAGGTATTTTTTTTTAGTACTTTATTTTTAACTTCTGTGGCCTTTTGCATGGAAATCCTTACTTTGCTTTCAAGAAATTGGGACGATGAGAAGTAAATGTCAGCTTGAGGGGGTGTGAATATCTTTGCAGACTGTTTTGTGGCCCCACCTGGCCAGTAGTGTAATGTTGCCTATGCTTCAGACCTGGAGACTGTTTTGTCAGATGGAATGAACTTTCAAGAAAGGAGAGGGGGACCCTGATCTGTAACCAGGTGCCTCCTGTTGGTGTGGGATCCGCAGTGGCTAGCCTCGGCCTCAGCCCCTTCATTAAGGGAATGTACATGGAACCTGTGCTAGCCCCTGAGCGTTTCTGCCTCTGAATTATTTTACTGTCTTTGAATAACCTTTTCAATGTTCTTGCAGTTATACTCCCTGCTCAGAGAGGATACACCTGGCTGTTACAGAAATGGCAGCATTATTTCCCAAAGTAAGTCACTTCCTACTTACTTGGTTCAGATCCTTTTAAAAAAACTGCAAGAAATTTCTTCATTACCTTGATAGCACATTATTCTTTTTGTGGCACAAAGAGTGCTTACATCTATAAACAGTCAGATACAGTATTGAAATATATTTGTTCTACATGAATACTGGTTTTAATAAGACAAGAATGTCTGAACCCAGTGCTAAAAAGCAAAGCATTAATAGAATAAAAACAAAGCATTAATAGAATAAAATTAATAAAATAAAATGTGGAATATTTCACCCAAGTGGAATAATAATACCTCAGAACAGCACATCCTACTAAAATGATACTGCACGCACTTTGACCTGAGTTAGAGCACTTGGGCATCTCACAGCCACCAGGGGTGGCAAAGCTTGCAGCGCTCTGAGCCCCCGTGAAAGGTGCCTGACAAAACTGCTCTCACTGGGGAGCAGCTGAAGTTGTTCTCAGAGGAATGTTTGTTCCCCCTCTCGGATGTCCTCCCTGCACTTCATGGCCAACGGCTGTGTTTTCTGTTTAGAAACCCAAGTCTGACATGGTGAGGACTTCCCTTCGCTTACTGACATCCAGTGCCTACCGACTGCAGTCAGAATGCAAGAAGACCCTTCCCGGGGACTGCAGCCCGCCCACGGACATCCAGCTGGTCACACAGCAGGTCATCCAGTGTGCGTACGACATCGCCAAGGCCGCCAAACAGCTGGTCACCATCACCACCAAAGAGAACAACAACTGAGCAGCGGAGCTGGCCCCTGTTTCCTGGGCTTTTCACAGTCCCGTTACAAATGTAGATGTGGAACTCCCGATTTTTACCAGAAACAAACATTTAATGAAAGCTTAAAACTTTTTTGAAAAAGACTCAGTATTATTTTTGCATGTTTTCTAACAAATTTTCAATTATTAATTTAACCCACTTGCCTTACTTTGTGACTGTTTGCCAGTTTTTCTGATGTTCTGTTGTGCTGTCAGTGACTGTTGAGCTCATGATCATGGACATCCAAAAGCATAGCTTCATTGTTGCAAGTTCGTTACCATTTATCCAGCCCTTAAAACTCCCTGCCTCTGGTTAAAACTCTAAGTGGGATGTTTTAGTAAAACATTTTCTTGAGAGAGTTGGGTAAAAAAAAAAAAAAAATCAACATTATCTGTTCCTTACCAAGCACTGTGCAATAAGTGAATTTTCTAACCTGTTGCAAATATCTCTTAAGTTTGGAGTATCTCCAAGCATGTATGAGGAGGACTTTGCCACTTTCTAAAAATAGTATAACGATCTCTCTTGGAAGGAAACAATGAATTGCTCCATTTCTTCGCACTGTGCTATCATGAGATGTTCTTTAATTTCTCTATCTTGATCTTCTCTCCATTTTACTATCATCCTGAAGTCCCCGTGGCATCAGATAAGCACTCATCCTCCACGTCGTGTGTCACTTGGCCACGTCCTGGTAGGGGCACCGCCGTGTTAGCACACGTGGTCTGCTCTGCCTTATCACAGGAAACCAGACTTCCCTTCCTGCGGACAGCGGGAGGAGCAGCGCCCCAGGCCATAGCTCCTCTGCACCCCCTCCCGTCAGTGCCGTGAACACGGGAAGAGAAACCCTCTGCGCCCGGACCTTGTATGGCACCTCTCTCGTCTGAAACTCGGTCACTCCTTTGACCACGTAAAGCCTTCTCGCGACCTGCTTCGCATAGCTCGTCCCCTTTAAGGACTTCTTGTGAGGTAAGATGTATGCAGTCATCTCGGTTTATTTCTTTTTCACTATCGCGCTGGTTTTTAAAAACTGGACATCAGCTTTCAAGAATTCCTTAGAGAGTGTTCTGCTGACTAGCAGCTGCCCCAAAGCTATGGAAGAGCACAAGTGTGAGCTCTGGGACACACTGAGGTGTTTCCTCAGTAGCTGGAGAGACCTTTCTTGTTCTGAATGCCGAGCACATTCCTGTACCTGCTGACTGCAGCCGCTTGGTGTGGGGCCTCAGACCTGACCTAGACCAGAGGCCAGGCCGTGGTGAGGAAGAGGAATGGGGTGAGCCAGGTGCGGAGCGGGGCAGGGGCATCAGGGGGGCCAGGGCACACCCAGTGGCACAGTAGCCCCCAGCTCCACCCGGGCTGCCAGGTGGAAAAGTGGATCTGGGGTTGCCAGAGCATTTATTTCTCAAGAGACTCCAGGAATCTGGCTGTTTTTGTGCCATCTCTCTGTTTATAAATGCTGGCGACTACTGCAGACATTTTCACAGCACACATGGGTGAGCTGTGGTCTCGAGGCCGCCGCGCACAGCCTCTGCCCTGGGACCCTGCAAACTGGTGCGAGTCGGGCTTCCCTAGTCCCACCTGGGTTAGCCTCTGAGCCGTGCCCGTATGTGGCCACCCTCCCCTTGCTTTACCCATATATTCTGTCCCATAGTGCTCCTTCACACGTGTGAAGAAGTCACAGTTATCTAAGTTGCCTAAGTACATGCTGAGCAAGCCTGCACTGTCACAGAACTGTTTGATTCACAATCACCTTCATAGCTTGACCGTAAACTGTCATGAAAGGAGCACCTTGAGGGTGTTTGCTTGACTGAGTCACTGTGTGGACGCTTCTGCCGGCTTCACGTCACTGAGTAGCTTGGGGAAAGGGTCCAATCTCCAGAAGACTCGTCCACTTGCTGATGCGCACACCCTAAGTGCCACCCTAAGTGCCGTCGATGCTGAGGGATGCTCCTACCTGCAGCTCCAGCCCCGTCGGAAAGCCGCCTCTGCATGCTGCACACTCAGTGTCCCTCTTCTTTCCTGCCAACACCCGCCCTCCTCCTGGGCGCATTGGGTCCTCAGGAAAGGCCCAGCACGCTCTTGAGTTGGTGGCCGTGGCCCCCGGAGGACAGGTTTCTGAATAATGAGTCGTCTGCGATGGGCAGCGGTCTTTCCTCGGACACGAGGACCTGCGATGAAGGGCGTTGCTTCTGCCCTAGAGGAAGTCCCGGAACTCGGAGCCCAGCGTTTTCGGTTGTAAGAATACCGCAGGGTTTGCTGTCGACCACAGCGCCAGAACTCCAGGAAGGAGTTCCAGGTGGCGAGACGCACGGTGCTAGGAGGGCCGCCAGCTTCCTTCTCAGCCTCAGCCTCAGCGAGGCCTGCGTTGCAGGCTCTCTGTCCTAGGGCAGACCGCCCCGTGTCTGCATGACGCTCACCACTTTTTGCACATGGGTCCCACAGCCTTGCACTAATGTCTGTGTCCTAATGTCATGTTTTCCCTGTTCTCAACCCCCTCCCCCAGAGCCGGTAGGTCAGAGGTGCCCTTTACACAACGGGCACTTGCTGAGGCGGCTCCACCCCCAGCTCCGGGAACTGAAGGCACCTCTGCCTCAATGCAAATGGTTCTTATTTGCCAAAGAGCAGTCGGGCAAATGCACACTCGGGAGCTGTCCGGGGCCTGGGGCCCTCTAGGCTGGGAGCCAGGAGCAAGGCAGCCTGGTGGTCCCCACAGCAGCTGCGCGCTCCCAGACATAGCATTTTCCTTCTCGTCCTGGTTGAAGGTCGCCCTTGTTTTTACGAAAGAAAAATGCTGCATAGGAATACTGAAATGCCTTTTATGGAAATGTGTTTTATCCATGTCACCCCTTCTGCACTTACTTTTCATTTGTATTGTACATTCTATTCCTGTAATTATTGTACAACCCTTTAAGCGTTGTAAAATTGTTTTGGAATTTGTGCCTGCTAGTTATGCAATAAACAGGCTCTATATCTGTCTCTGTGGTGATTGTATGTCTCCCATCCATTAGTTGATGCTTCAGATACCCCCCCGCCCCCCCCATGAGACAGCACTGAAGATGCTTCGCCCGGGCGCTCAGTGTACAGGACTGAGGCCCTTTTCCTCCTCTGCACTGAGCAGCGAGCTTTGTTAGGGAAACCCACATCGGGGCATCAGTTCCAGGTACCTTCTCACAATGTGCTCTCTCCCTAAGTTTGACTTTTAAATTCAGTGAGAGTTGGCCGCGCACAGGCGCCCTCACCTCCTCTTCCCAGGTGAGCTGGTCATGGGGCTCGTTTAGTCTAAGGCAGTGGTCGGCAAACTCATTAGTCAACAGAGCCCAATATCAACACTACAACGATTGAAATTCCTTTTGAGAGCCAAATTTTTTAAACTTAAACTATATAGGTAGGTACATGGTTATTAACTTGATTAGGGTACTCCTAAGGCTTAGGAAGAGCCACACTCAAGGGGCCAAAGAGCCGCATGTGGCTCTCGAGCCGCAGTTTGCTGACCACAGGGACTCTAAGGCCTTCGGTCTAACTTTCAGAGCAAGGCCCCCTGTGCAGGCTCACCCGGGGAACTGAATAGTCACACCGGGTTCATCGGGGCCACCCTCCGTCCCCAGCAGTCGTCCTCTGGAGAGGCGACTTGGGCTCTTCTCCCAGATGGAAGGGGTGCGGCGGGACCTGTCACCACAGGCGCCTTTCTGAGCGAGACGTGCAGGGAAGATGGAGTCCTCAGTGATCCAGCTTGTCTGAGGTCCCGAGCCAGCTGGTCAGGCCATCAGCGCCCACCCAGAAGCACCTCCGAGGGCAGGGCTTCCCAAACGAGCCGGCCCTGCCCCGGGAGGGCTCGCTGAAACCCTCCAGCATCTCGGACCCAGCAGCTGTGGGGAGGGCCGGGGGCTGCTGCTGCGGGTCCTGACCGCTCAGAAGCGCTGCTGTCCACCCTTCTCAGGGCCCTCCCCACCGGCAGCTCTGCGTTTCTGCTTTTAAGTAGGTTTTTACAATAATTCTAATGACAACATTTATCAACTACTTCCTCTGCGCCAGGCACTGTGCTGGGTTCTTTTTTTTTTTTTTTTTTTTTTTTTTTTTTTTTTTTAATATATTTTATTGATATTTTACAGAGAGGAAGGGAGAGAGATAGAGAGTTAGAAACATCGATGAGAGAGAAACATCGATCAGCCGCCTCCTGCACATCTCCCACTGGGGATGTGCCCGCAACCCAGGTATATGCCCTCAACCGGAATCGAACCCGGGACCTTTCAGTCCGCAGGCCGACGCTCTATCCACTGAGCCAAACCGGTCTCGGCTGTGCTGGGTTCTTGATGTGGATTAGCTCTAGTCCTCACCACAACCCTGTGGGCAGCAGTGCCGCTGAGGAAACTTACAGTCCAGGTGCCGTCCCAGTGGGAAGAGGGGAGCATGTGGGTTACTGTGAGTCGTTTGTCTTGATTGGCCCCGGTGGGCTTCACGACCCCAGGGGAGTCTGTGACGAGGAGGCTCGGAGAACGTGGCCCCGTGGGGAGGGAGGTGTCTCTAGGTCCGAAGGGCAGTGGGTGACGTGAACACAGGGCTTCACTGGATACATGGGGCAGTCTGCCTGTGGCCCTGGAGTGGAGGCTGCCATCCTTGAGCCCTGGGCACTGGGACCCCTACAGCGTTTGTTGAGTGACTAACTGGGCGGACTGTCCTCTGGCTCCCAAGCACCTTGAGCAGCGCTTTCCCATCCATGGGGCTGCGCAGGGGTGACCTCACCGCAGGGACAGTTCAGTGACCAACTGAGGATGACCCGCTGCCCAGCAGGCTGGCGTGCAAGGCTCTCCAGGAGCCCGTCCCTGTGGCCCAGACACCAGGCTGGAAGACTGGTCCCCACCTCGACCAGCCAGCCACCAAGCCAGATGCCAGGCCCCATGAGGTGTGTCAGACTCCGGCAAAAGCCAAAGTCACTCTGCAAAAATGCCCAAAGAAACCCATTTGTGTCGTCAACCCAGAGGAGCAAGGCCTGTGTCACTGGTAAGCCAGATGCTCAGTTCCTCAGGAACTAGGTCAGCGGCAGGTGTGGCAGTGCACCCGGCAGGGGTGACCTCACACATGGGGAGTCCCCACAGCATCCTCTACCCTAAATGTTTCCACATAGAAACAGAGACTATATAACGCTTTAAGTTTTATGAAAAATACCTAAAAACCCAGATCCTGAAAAAATATTCATTATAGCCATAAAATATTCATTATATCCACAATAAGTAGAAAAAGGTGCTTAAGAACAAAATCAATATGCATACACAAAATATATACCAGATAAAGAGTGTAAGAAATAGTAAGACAGTGGAAGCTCTAAATTTGGAAACATATTTTTTAATAAATTTTTATTGATTTCAGAGAGGAAGAGGGATAGAAACATCAATGATGAGAGAATCATTGGCTGCCTCTTGCATGCCCCCTACTGGGGATCAAGCCCGCAATCCGGGCATGTGCCCTTGACTGGAATCGAACACAGGACTACCCATATCAGTTCTGTACTAGAGCTCAGACAATATGACTGCTAATTCCCTGTGGAGAAGAGGCTCCGATGGGAATGAGAGGGGAGGCAACACCAATTTACCAGAAAAATGAGCATAACCTAGAATAAGTGAACAGTCCTAGAGAATATTCTGTCCAAACCTGCAGAGGTGGATGAAATAAGTAAAAATCTATCATTCTACACAACCACTTTGCAGCAATTAATAAAGCAACAGTAACAGCCTGGAAGCGATGCCGTCAAACCAACTTTATTTCACAATGAATGGACATCTGAAATGGGAATAAGTGAGAGCCCGCATGGAAAGTGGGGTCAGGGGATCATATCCAAAGAAACTCAAGACAAAATGAAAAACAGATTAAGGATGTCGTTTGCAGCTTCATTTGTTTTTGTAGCACAATGCGAGTGAAAGGCAATGCAGCCCTTCCACTCAGGATTTTTAAATAAACTCTGGTTTTAATAACATGGAACAGTCATTAGCTATAATTTACTGATAGGGATTCTTGAACACAATATAATGAAAACTAAACTTGACCGAAAGATACGAAAAAAATGCAAGTCATAAAAATGTGCTGCCAGGAACTTCTTGCAGCTATTTGTGGAGATTCATCTAGAACTATGTCACACTGATGTCACGGGGAAGAAAAGTCTGTGGTTGAGTCTGATCTCATTTCCTCAGGTCAATGCCTCCCCTTCCTCTGGCACATAAACCCCAGGAGGCTGTACGTGGCCGAGACCTTCCTAAGACACCAAAGGTCCAGTGTCACATCACAAGGCGAGCCATGCAAGCGACCTTGAGGCTCAGTGACACAGATCACTCCCCTCCCACCACACACAGCGCGCATTGGAAATTCCACCAAAATGCTTCCCAAAGACTCTTCTCGCCCCCGTTCCGGAAAGCACCCCTGGACCACACCAGACGGTCTCAGGGTTCACAGTTCTCTTCAGAAAACCAGACGGGACCCTTCTAGGACCACTACACTAATACCCCACACGCTTGTCTTCAATAGAACACATTTAAACTGCAATTTAAACATGGAGCCTTCCCTCAGATCTCTGGCTGGGGGCGTCATTGGAGGCTGACAATTAAGGGCGAGACAGCAGAACCTGGATCCTGCCGTGGACACAACTTGGAACTTAGAGCCTTAGATTCCTCATGAACAGCACGGTCCGTGTGTGATCCTAGCCCCTTTCTTAACTCGGAAAGGAGGGAAGGCCTCCTGCCGGTGTTAGTCTGTCCAGCCCTTGATCCACTTAACCTGGACCTGCACAGGCTCGCTGAGCTATTGCCAGTGACCCCAACACTAGAACAGGACGTTGTCGCACCGTCTGCTGCTGCATATCAACAGCCTTCGCACCTCAGCTCTGTGCTTCCAGTGGCAAGGAAGTCAGTTCCAAGCAATTCTGGGATGCCCATAAGGCTGAAAACAGAAAGAAAACCTGAAATTAGATCAGCATTCTCTGAAGCAATGGGAATTAATCCACTTTAGGTAAAAGCTAGAAGCACAGTATAAACAGCTGTTGTCACTTACAGCCAAAGCAGCACTGACCCCACGCCACAGACGAGGCACTGGCTGGCTCGTTTTAAAGTACCAGCCCTGAGTACATTTTCAGGTGTGCTCTGTGACACCCTGGCCCTGAGACTCTCACTGGCCCACGGTCACGAAGTTTAAAACGCTGTCCCCTGCACCTCAAGAGCCCAGCCGGTCAGGACATTAACGTTCTGTAGCAGGTGCAGTACCTGCTGATGGTTTCATCGGCTTCCAAGGAGCCGGCCTGCCTTGCAGCACTCAGAGCGCCTGGGTCCCTGATAAAGGAGGGGCAGCGGCGACGGCCTGCTGGCCTCAGCGAGCTCCCTCAGAGCAGGGGTCACTGATGTACTGGAGTGGCAGGGAAAGGGGGAGGGGAGGAGGGGAGGACTAACGAGGGGGAGGGGTCACTCAGTCCTGGAGTGGCAGGGAAAGGGGGAGGGGAGGGGAGGACCGACGAGGAGGAGGGGTTCTGACGTCTGGGTAGTTAGGGCCCAGAACCACGGCCTTCTCCTCTCACCAGCTGTGGCCAACACTCTCCCAAGATTGCTATTTGTCCCCAAACAGGGTCCCAGGACACAGCTTAGCAGTCGGGACCTCCCTCCTTGGGCTGCAGTGAGGAGCCAAAGCAAAATCACCTCCAGGGCTGTCTGAGGCCCCACCAAAGACCAAAACAGACCCCGTCAAGGTGACCTACCGTAGCGAAAAGGAAACATACAAGAGGAGAGCAAGGAAGTCTCCCAGCTGCTGGGAAGCAGAGCCGGGCACAGCGTGTGCACAGGCCTGGAGAGCAGGGGCCAGGCCGAGGGGCTTGGCAGTGGTGGCCCGTCCCCTGCAGGCTCCCTACCTTGGGCCGGTATCCCTGCTTGGCCATCATCTTTGCCTCCTGCTGCAGCAGGGCATTGGTGAGCTGCTCTGCCTGCCTCGCCTCCTCCTCTTCCTCTGCCTCCTGCTGGTCTGCTTCCCAGGCCTGCAGCTGGCGCTCTGCCACCTGGACACAGAGAGTAAGTCACCGGAGACCAGGCCCGCGGGGCAGAGCCCTGCCTCCGATCAGGAGGGAAGCTGTGGACCTACCCCCGCTGGAGAGTCAGAGCAGGTAAGAGGGAGGGACGTGCTGACAGCGGGCAGGGCATGTGGTGCGGAAGCGTCATGTGCATGGTAGTGCGCGCCTTGTAGGAAGCTCTGGACGCGGCCACGTCCTCTTTGGGAGATTATTGTTACCTATTAGGTACTGAACTGAATGGAGGCTTGTGGCCCAGTGAGCAACGTGTTTGCAGATGGGACAGGAATGAGACGGGGGCAGGAATGACAGACTCGCTCCACAGGCGGGGAACCTAGTGGAGTGTGAGCTGCAGTCAGCAGGAGAGACATGAATGTGGGCTTCTTAGGGGAGTGCCGGGCGGCGGGAATCAGCCAAGGGCCTGAATCCTGTGCCACCACCATGCAGGGTCCACCAAGCAGGGCCACGCAGGCCCTGTGGCCGCAGCGCTCATCCCCTCGCTGAGGCTGCTCCCGCCCGTGAGGGGCCCACCTGGGCTTCCAGCTCCTGTTTCCTGGCTGATTTCAGTTCCTCACTCTCCTCTTTCTCTCGACGAGCTGACTCTCTTGCCTCCTCCAGGTTCTGAATAAGTTGCTCCCTATGTCTTAGGGATTCCTCTTGCGCCCGTCGGTTTTGTTCAATCTTTTCTTGTATTTGTTGTTGTCTCCCTGTCAGGACCTGGCCTCCGCAGAAAGGAAAGGGAGGTTTTGGGTTGCCTCTTAGCAGACACCTGTTCTGGCAAGCTGTGGGCAGCTGGCTGCACCTGTGCCGAGACCCAGCCTGAGCCTAAACTTGCCAGACGGAGCCAAGCCCAGACGAGAGAACCGATCCAAGTTTCCCCTTTAAACTACTTTAAGGTAACTCCACACAGGGAAATGAAGACTTTCCCCCAAAAGATTTCCTTTTAGCTGCTGTGTGTCTTATACACATTATTTAAATGCTGGCAAATAAAACACACTCTTTAGTCCACTTTTGGTTACGCACCCACAAAAAACAATGCTAGGTACGGACAAGCGTCACACACGAAGATGTTTACTGCAGTGTTTCCAATAATGGCTCAAAATTAGACAGAGAATGGAAACTCACCAAAGGGGACGGAAAAACAAACCACGGTATGCCCACGTGGTGATATACTATGCAGCCATCAAAATGATATTTACAGCCCTAGCCGGTGTGGCTCAGTGGATAGAGCATCAACCTGCAGACTGAAGGGTCCCGGGTTGGATTCTGGTCAAGGGCACATGCCTGGGTTGCGGGCTTGATCCCCAATACGGGGTGTGCAGGAGGCAGCCAATCAATGATTCTCTCTCATCATTGATGTTTCTATCTCTCTCTCCTTCCCTCCCTCTTCCTTCCTATCTGAAACCAATAAAAAAATATGTTAAAAAAACAATTAAAATTGAAAAATGGTATTCACAAAAAAGATGTAATAGCATGTAAGAATGCTTGAAATCAGATCACACAGCATAAGAAGAGACATGTAGGTAAACATGTTGTGTAGAGACGGAGTGTGGAAGGAAGCAGGGACAGTGGCGATGTAGACGGCAGGGGTCTGGGTGATTTTCTGTACTGAAGTATTTCTAACAAGCGTTTATTACATTCTTTAATGGCCAGAGAGGACTCTGTCCCCAAAATATCTGGCAGGCTCAGTCCCTAATTCCCACACCAGCCCGGCACCGCCAGCCACACCCTCACAGCGGGATTACCTCGGCCATCAGCCTGTCCCGTGCGCTCCTCTCGCGGGCCCACTCGGCCTCTCTCTTTTCCCACATCTCCTTGGCTTCCTCCCTGGGGAGACACAAGACGATGGCAGGCGGACAAGCAGGGCTCCGAGGCCCGGGCGGCACGTCTGTGGGCCGGCCTCAAATAAACCTCTCCTCACGCACTGTAACAGTGAAGGACGTTCACACAGTGTCCCTACCAGCAAGACCTTGAAGTGACCTTTGTTTAATGCTCCACCTCTTTCTAAAAGGCACTCTGACGACTTGCACCTGGGCCGCTTCAACACTGAAGCGCATGAAGCTGCCGGTGCCTGAGCTGTGGCCGCGCTCCTGGGGTCCCGGCCGGCTCGCCCTGGGGCCTGGTGCAAACGACTGGGCTGGGCCTCTGGCACACACACGCTCAAGAAATGCTGCCTGTTGTTTGTTTCAATCTACTGGGCTCACGTTTAGGACCCAGACCCATTTGTACGGCCCCAGCAGGCACGCACCATCTCCAGCATGAGGACCATTTCCTTTCAAATTCTAAGACTTCAGATGAACAGGTCCTTACTTTAAACCCTGAGGATCTTCATCGTGACCTAAAGGAAACACCCTCACAAGCCAGGTCCTAACAAAGACGCTCCTCATGAGCGACAGACAGTACCCAGGACGGGCGTTTCAGGAACAGACCCCCGTGGAGACCTGCTGGGACCCCAGGGACAGAGAGGCGGGGTGCGCGCCCACAGCTGCCCTCACCTCAGCAGCATCTGCAGCTCTGCCTCCTGCTCCCGCTCCCGCTGCAGCTGCTCCTCCAGGACCTGCTGCATCCACGCCACATCCGCCCGGGCCTGCTCCCGCCGCGCCGAGTGCTCCCGCTGGGCCTCCTCCTCCTCCTCCAGGAGGGCCTGCAGGATGCGCTTGTCCGCCTCCTGGAGGGAGGAGGGGAAGGGAGGAGGAAGCACTGCCGCCTGGTGCTCTCCACGTGGAGGCGGGAGAGGTTGGGATGGTTGAAACGACACCGCAGAGGCCCGGGAGCTGTTCTCTGCCTCAAGGGAGAGCCCGCTGCCGCCACCCGCAGGTCCCTGCCCTCAGACACATCTGCTAGCTCAGCCTTTGCGGACACAGTTTGACAGCAATCCCACTTCTAAGAACACAGACTCCAGACGCACACATGCCGAGGTTTATGCACAAGAGCCCACTGCCGCCGCCACGTAAGAGGGAAAAGCCGGAAACAACGCAAACACCCCGGGTAGGGCCAGCTGTTAGGTACATCCACACGGCGGACGGGTGTGAAGGAACGAGGAATCCGGGGGCCTGGAGCCGGGAAAGCCGCCTCGGGGGGGAAGCCGGAGGGCACTGCCCCGGAGGGCGCTGCCAGGGAGGAGGAGGACACGCAGGCAGGGTGGGGACACGCAGGCAGGGTGGGAGCTCATGCCCGTCCCTCGCAGGGAGACAGGACACTGAGCAGCTAGGAAACAGAACAAGCTCAACCTAAGTAGACGGATCCCAAAGTGGGAGCGTTACCCTCAGGTAAACAGCCGAGGAGCGCGGTTTCAGGTGCGTTTTTTAGAAACCACCACCTCCCTACTGTGCTGGTGTGTAAATATACCCACAGGGCACATGCCAAGCAGAGCCCGCTGGGGAGGGCGGAGACGGCAGGGCTGGGCCGGGGTCTCACTCTGCGTTTTACTTCTCACTGAGCAATGGAAACATGGCTCTCAGAGGTGAGAGGACGCCAGGCTGTCTTCCAGACTCACCAGTTCCTCTTGGATCTGCTGTGCGCGTCTGTTGAGTTGCACGTTATACTGATGTCTCAAAAAACGTCTAAAAAGGAAGAAAATATTGGTTCCCTTCATCAGTGTCTTATCAAGAATTAGACAGAAGTTAGACAGCTACTCACTACCGGGTGCACCCTTCCTGTTTCAGGGACACCAAGAGAGAAAGAGAGAGAGAGAGAGAGAGAGAGAGAGAGAGAGAGAGAGAGAGAGGGGCAGGCTCTGAGGGCGGAGCCCCTCCACGCACCCCAGCTCCGCCTTCTGCCGGAGGGCTGCCATCTGCTTCCTCTCTTCCGCCAGCCGCTCCAGCTCCCACCGCTGCTTCAGCAGGTTCTCCCGCTCCTTCTTCAGTTTGGTGGCCTGTGGTTATAACGACAGCAACCCCAGGAAGGTCAGGAGACTCAGCTCCCTTTCACTCTCATCTCCGTTCCCAGCAGACTGGGCAACAGGGCTGGCCTGCCGCCTGGCGATCAGGCCCCTCCCACCGCTGAGCCTTGCGGCAGCTTTAGCTCACTCACTCACCCAACTCAGATGGGCCATTTCTTACAAGAGCCGTTGCCAACTCTGTGGACAAGGAGCCCCTGCTCTGTGCTCCCGGGACCCTGTACTGCCCACGCCTCACTGTGGCTCACCATCTGC